ATTTGCAAACCTTGAGGGTGCCCGAGAGCTGTTTCTGCGGTTTACAAGATGATTTAAAGTGCAGTAAGCTCAACTCAAGCAAATATACTGCTTTTAATATGCAGCTCCTCTTGTTGCCAAGGTTTTTTTTCTTTTTTTTCTGGGGGTTATTCTTTCTTTGTTGGTCGGCAGCCCCCTAACAAACTTAGAATCATAAAATTAAACTTGCTTTTGATATTCTGTTTTATTAAAGATGTTATGACCGCCATATGGAATTTCTTGAGCATTCATAATCCCCTCTCTATTGTAAAAACAATACAATATGTAGTGCTTAGCTGTACAAAAACCCAGACTGCTATACTGGCACAATTTGTATTCAAAATACAGTAAAATCTAGTCAAATTATATTCAGAGGTTACACTTTTTTGATGGTCCGTTTGTTGAATAGTTACATTGCATCTACATGCCACATAATTCTTATTAGATTATAAGTAGACTGTTTGGTTGGGGTTAGGTTTAGTGTAAATTGACATGTACTTGCAAAGTTTCTTAGAGATAGTTAAATGTCTGTTAAAGGATTATTAAATGTCAGTATCAACAGATATTAAACAGACAGTCTACTGATACTCAAATGGACCATCAAAATAAAGTTACCTATTTTTTCCCCTAGATTTCACATTTACAGAATTTACTGTATACATAATAGTAGGGAAGTTACAAGAAGGTTAGTTAAGCAAGTCATCGGACCACATGATTAAAGTGGCAAATAGTATTAACCTTAATTTTTTTTTAATGGGAAAACTGATTTTATTCCAGCCAAACTAAAAGAAATAAGACTTTTTCCAGAGGAAAAAATACTATAGGAAACACTGTGGAAATTTCCTTACTCTGTTAAACATCGATTGGAAAATATTTGCAAAAAAGAATTCAAATTTCATAGGAGAGCTAATAATTTTAAGGGGTACTCACTGCAGAGCCACTTGGGCAGAGCTGAGCTCCAGCAAGGGAGAGCTTGAGCTCCAGCTCCTCTTTTTATTTATTTATTTATTTATTTATTTATTTATTTATTTATTTATTTATTTATTATTGTATTTGCTGAAAATTTCCAGTCAAATGCCTAACAAGTCTTACAGTATTACACATTTTAACATAACATGTATAAACAAAGTAACAAATTAAGAAAAAAGGAGAGAAAGAAGAACAAGAGTGGGTATAACATTCACCATTAAGAAGAGGAGTTTTGATTTTTCAGTATATTCACAGTTCTGGTCGCTTTACGACTTGAAAGTCCTTAAAGAGTCTAAAAAATACATTTTTAAGATAGCCTTGAAATGGAAGATGTTAGGCTTCCTCTTCGACCATTTACGCTTGTGTATATGAAACTTTCCCAATAATATCAACAGATTTAACATGAACAGGAGATTCTTGTCTATATCTTTTATTATCAATATAAAATATGACATCTCTTTTGAGCTCCAGGTCCTCCTTCCTTGCACTTCTTCTACAAGGGATGTCACTGCGGGTTGGGGTTAGGGGTGGGGTGGATGTACACATTAAAAGAGCTTATAGGAGGAGCTCAAGCTCCCTTCACTAGAGCCCAAGTGGCTTTGCAGCGAGCAGTGTCTCAATAATTTTGCCATCGACTACAAGTTTCAAACAGTTGACATGAATGGAGATTCAAAATGTTCTTGACATACAAGGTCTAAACAATTTTGTAAACTCAAAAACTCCACAGTATGACACGTGACAATTATTTTCCACACTTCTGACTATTGTTTATCATTCAAAAGAATGTTACAGCTGTATGGTAAAGATGTAAGACATGACTGTCAAACTCAGAAATTGAGTCTTAACTAATAATTGCGATATTTATTTGTATATGAACATCCAGCTTCTCACAAACTTCCAACTAATTCACATGTGCATGACTGCTCTTAAGTTTGTTCTTTAGTTAGTGAATTTGGATTATTATAATTTTTAATGTGCACACAACTGTATATAGGCTTTATGCACAAACCATGGGTACCATTTTAGCTTTAACATCTAAACAGGGGTGCGTTCTGAAAACCATCGTTAAGTGACTAAGGTCACAAGTTCTGTCGTTACAAAGATATTTTGTTGATTTGGCGTTTCCCAAATCTGACTATCCAACAAACATTCGCAAACCGAATCGCAAACGTGTAAGCTTACAACTACACCTCTAGAGCTGTAGTTAAGATGCATAGTTCCTGGATGTGTTCTATTCCCTGTCATCCCCCCTAAGGCCTTTTCATTCAACAACATGGGAATGATTTATAAAAAAAAACATAAGGTCATCATAATTTGCTTTCAAAGTATTTTTACAGTTCAGATTTAGCAATCATATTGACAATTGCGTTCCCCTCACATTCATTCATCCCTTTATTAATCCGGGGTCGCCACAGCGGAATGAACCGCCAACTTATCCAGCAAGTTTTTACGCAGCGGATGCCCTTCCAGCCGCAACCCATCTCTGGGAAACATCCACACACACACATTCACACACACACTCATACACTACAGACAATTTAGCCGACCAAATTCACCTGTACCGCATGTCTTTGGACTGTGAGGGAAAACGGAGCACCCGGAGGAAACCCACGCGAAGGCAAGGAGAACATGCAAACTCCACACAGAAACGCCAACTGAGCCGAGGTTCGAACCAGCGACCTTCTTGCTGTGAAGCGACAGCACTACCTACTGCACCACTACCTCGCCGTTCCCTTCACAGTGCTCTTTAAAAACATTTTTGCCATTTTGAAGGCAGCCGTGGCTTATGACGAAAGCTATAGGTGACCTATTATTTAAAAGCCGAATTTACGTTACGTGTCCAAAGCTTTTGAAAACAAAAACATATATCATACATTAATGGTTTTCAATTTATAGTTGGGTTTTTTTTAAAGAAATGTATCTGTACTGTACATGGGCCTGTTGGTTAGAACATTTCTGCAGTGGTTTGAATGTCAAATTGTAAAAGTAGACTTTTCAAAAAATAAATAAATGAATAAATAAACAAAATCCTCCTTAAATAATAATAATAAAGATTTTAAGTAGATTTTTTTTCATTTCTTAATAAAAAAGCCTACACTGTAAATTCGGCCTACAACCATTAATGATTTATATGATTTATGAATGATAGCTGAGTGATTTTATATGTAGTATTCTCAATTATATTTGTAAAGCAAACATAAATCAGTCCTATATGCGTCGTTTACATATATTTCAATTAATATGGAAAACGAGTGCATGTTTTTACCAAAACTAATATTAGACTTTTTTAAAATGTGTGATCCTGTAAAACAATGTCATTTGGACAAAAATTATGGGGTTTTTTTTCCTAAAGGAGTTGTTACTTCACCCTGTTTAGAGCATAATTATGGGCGTTTAACGTTATAACTAATGTGGTTCAAACGATGGATCTGCGACAGAGAATCAACAAGTTTTGGCAAACACTCATCACTACATCGTTCTTTTCCCAAATGATGCATCGTACTATGATAGTTCAGCCGCGAATAATGTCATTGTTTGGGAAACGCGCCCCTGAGTAGATGCTTGCAACACACCTTTCAAAGCAACACTCCTCTTTTCTTGGAGAATAGGCTCATTTTACAACTCCACTAGAATTAAACAGTTGTGTTTTACCCTTTGTTAATCAATTCAGCTGATATCCAGGAGCACTTTTAGTTTAGCTTACCATAAATCATTGGATCACAGTGATAAATTAGCATCTCACTCAAAAAGAGTTTGAATACATTTAAGGTTGAACTGACAGAAAATTAAAGGTTGCTGTTTTTAGTTGAATGTAGCTTGGAAGTAAACACTTGAGTTTTTTGAGAGAGCTGCTAAAAACTGATTCAATGATCTATACCACAGGTGTCAAACTCAGTTCCTGGAGGGCCGCAATTCTGAACAGTTCAGTTACAACCCTAATTAAACCAACCTGATCAAACTAATTGAGATCTTCAGGCTTGTTTGAAACCTGCAGGTAATGCCGCAGTCACGCTAGAGTTGGTGTGTGTGAAATTCTGTCGTACAGTGCTGTTAAAAGGGATGGTAATAAACAAGATGATTAGACATTAAAAAAAGCGAGCGATTGGTCCATGTTTTAAATTCCTCATCAGATCATGTTTTGATCTTGGATTGGTCTCACGCAATCATGTGATGCGAATTCACAGGTCAGACTTCACCAAACTTCGAACACAGCGAACTACAAAACTTGTCGCATGAGCTTACGTTTCCAGTTGGACGCACTCGAGCGTGTATGAATGGAAGTCTACGGGAAATAAAGTGCAGTGTGACCGCAGCTTTAGTTTCAACCCTAATTAAACACACCTGATCAAACTAATTGAGTCCTTCAAGTTTGTTTGAATCCTTCAGGTAAGTGTGTTGGAGAAAGATGGAACTAAACTGTGCAGGGCTGCGGCCCTCCAGGATTTGTTTTTGATACCCCTGCTCTAAGCTAAGCTATGCTAAGCTAAGTGAAAAGTGCTCATACCAAACCTGGAGATCGACTAAATGGATTAAAAAATTGTAAAACTCAACTGTATAACTTTTCTATTTCCAAAAAAAGTGCTGTTCTTTTAAGACAGTGGTCACCAAACTTGTACCTGGAGGGCCGGTGTCCTGGAGCTCCAACCCTAATCAAACACACCCGAACAAGCTAATCAAGGTCTTACTAGGTATAGTTGAAACACCCAGGCAGGTGTGTTGAGGCAAGTTGGAGTTAAATCCTGCAGGGACACCGGCCCTCCAGGACCGAGATTGGTGAACCCTGCTTTAAGATAAAATTTTATGTATTTATTGTCCTTTACGTATTATTGTCAACATTGCTAAATAACATTTTTTGGAGTATGTTGTCTAAATGTTTGCACTGTCTGGAGCCAGCACCTAAGCTTTTCACTCATACATGTGCTGCTGATGACGTAACAATAAAAGTGATTTGATTTGATTTGATCTGATTTGAGGGCTATGGATTCTGAATAACAGCCAGTCAGAGCAGTGGATGTTTTTGTTGTTTCTGTAAAAGGTAATGACAATGTACAGATAGTGATATGCAAAACACTTAGAACGCAAACAATTATTTTTAGCAAAATGATACATTTTTTGTGACAAGAATCTATGCAAGCTTTAAAGCAACATTGAGGAACTTAATATAAAAGACTGAAACAGCATTTCATGACCCCCTTTAAAACTGAAATGATCTGCCAGTGATTTTTTCCATCAGTCTCCCCTTCACATATGGAATATCGATGTTATACACGTTTTCTGTCAGCACGTCTCTTCCTCTTTGGTTTCCACATGCACTTCTTTTTCCTCCTCATTTGTGACGCCGTCCTCCTCACTTCCTGTACTGTGAAAAAAAGATAGCAGTACAACTTGACCAGTAGATCATAATATTTGTCTGGTTACTTTACTATGCCAATGACAATAAAGCTTATTCACGGACGACATAAAATCATAAAAAAGAAGATCTATAATCTTTTTAACCGCATGCACTGTATTTCCAATCAGTAAGAGTTTATTTTGAATGGTACAGGCCACAAGAGAGGAAGCAATGGCAGTTTTTTTTATCAAAACTACGATAAATTCTTTACCACACTGTAAAACTTTTGATTTTAACATATTTGTTCTGCTCTTTGATAATCATAACACATATTCAGTGTAAAAAGTAAAAAGATGAACCAACCCTCCCCATCATTTATGAGTCTGCAAACCTCTTTTGAGTTTCGCTTTCAGTGCTGTGATGATCCTCATCCGCAGAGTCATTGTCCACATCACTGCCCTTTTTCCTTTCTCCTTTTGATCTCACAAAGTTTTCGTCCAAGCCTGCTTGTTCTAAAGTGTTCCTATACCTGCGTTCAGCATTATTTTTGGCATTTTTCTGAAAGCATAAGACATGAGTTGCATCCAAATTAATTTACAAAAATATTGTATATATTGTACTGTGTATACTGCATGAACATTTGAACATTTCCTCACCATTTCCTCACACACAAGTGGTTCAAAGGAAGATATTCTGAAGAATGTTAGGGGAAAAGCGACTATAATTGGGACAAAAATTACAATGGAAATCAATAAGTGATTTTTCAACATTCTTCAGTTTATCTTCCTTTGCGTACACCAAAAAGAAGAAACTCAAACAGGTTTGAAACAAGTGGAGGGTGAGTAAATCATGGCAGAAATTTCATTTTTGGGTGAACTGTGCCTTTAATGTTAGACAAAAGTGTTTACTTTAATGTTTTAGTAATTTCAAGTATATAAATACAAGTATAAATAACAAAATCAATAACAAACATGGGTCATTCAGCAAGACAAATGTAACTACATAAACTTAATCTCACCTGTAGTTATATACTGCACTTTATATGTTAAAATATTTATTCGTTCATTCCTTTTCTATTTGGCTTATCCCTTTATTAATCAGGGATCACCACAGCGGAATGTACTGCCAACTTGTTCAGCAGCGGATGCCCTTCCAGCTGCAACCCAATACTGGGCAAAAGTTAAAATAGATAAAAAAATATGTGATCATACTGAATTTGATCTAATATTGGATGATTCAAATCTTCTGGCTATGAAATGGTAAAATCTATTGGTTTTAAGAATAATGCCAAAGTATAAAGATTTAAAATAATAACTCAAAAGGTATTGAAAATAACATATAGTATTGGTATATAATCATGGCTGTACTGTGATACTTTTTCAAAAATGTCATCAATCCAATTCTCTAAAATTGACTGACAAGATTTTTGTGTGTGTCTGTGAGTTTTTAGTGCATGTTGCCTGTAAACATAGTAAAGTAGTCATTATATTTTCCTCAGAAATAACTAATAAAATAAACAGGACACATTTTAATGTATGAACAAGCTGTGATTTAAGCTGTGATATTTTTTTTTTTTTTGTACTGATGCTTAAAAACCCCTTTTTTAATGTTGACTCAGAAATGCACTACCTGACAAAAGTCTTGTCGCCTATTTAAGTTTTAGGAACAACAAAAAATAACTTGACTTCTAGTTGATCATTTGGTATCAGAAGTGGCTTATATGAAAGGCAAAGGCCTCTAGATTACGTTTATTTTACTGTAAGAATTGAAATATTGCAAATATTCTGATGTCTTTGACAATTCAAAACATGAGCTGAAAACAGAGACTGGTAACTTCACAACTAAGCAAGGGGAATGCGGGAAAAACCAGTTCCTGCTGCATTTGCATCTGAGTCTGCTTCATCCCCCCAACTCACACATATGGTCATTTGAATGTTTGAATGTTCTAGAATTAACCAAACTGACTTTAACTATCATGTTTGATATCATTTGAAATGTCTCAGTGTGATTGGTACAATGGTCTCATTCTCTCAGAAATAGACATAATCAGAACAATAAATATATAACTTCAGGCATCTTTTGAACCACTGAGAGGGGTGTGCCACTAAGTGTGAATGCCTTTTGTTCACACCCCCTTCCTTGAGGGAATTCTTGGATTACTTAAGGCAAGGTTTGAGAAAAACTCAGGGCGATTCTGCCTACCCAGATCAGCCCATAACATGGGGTCTGCCCCATGTTATGTATATTTCAAAGTCAGGAATGCATCTTTTTCATCTTGGATTTATCTTTGATAATTTGATGTTTTGTATTGATCATTTATGAATTGACTGATTGAATTGGCATAATACATTTACCTGACTAATAAATTGTTATGTTTTGAATGATTCAAACAGAGTTCGTGTTATTATCTTTAGTAGATTGTGGTAATTTCATAGCACCACAAGCCCCTGTTCAGGTTAGTAGCGGACTAGAACACGGTAGACGGAGCATTGCGGCACGTTACACGATGTCTCTAGAGCTCCGACTAACAAATTGGCATTTATTCATGTATACTTAGGCTGTAAAAGGATATCTAAGGGGATAGTCCTTCACCCGATAAACTTTTAATACTATTTAGATAGTATAGTGATTATTCAAAGTTACTACTAGTTTAAGTACGACTGGTCTGCTTAATTCTATAGTAATGATCGTTATATGACTAAATAGCTCTGTCTGATTTAGGAGGTAGCAGACCTATGGGGACCGCATAAAAAATATCCTAATCTGAGTAAGTAGGGTTCTGCCTTTTTAGGATAGCGGTCAATCGCCCCTGTTTAGTGACCAAGACTGACATGCTTGTGCTTAAGAAATTGTATACTCGGCCGGTACAAGATTCAGGATGTTATAGAGATCCCAATGAACGAGAATAACATAAAATGATGAACCGAAGAGAATATTCAATCATAATCTAAAATAATGTGAAAGGAAACAAAATAACCTTCTCAATGTTTTATAATTGGAGTCAGATAAAACGAGGATAAACATATTAATATTCTAAACCATCTCATACTAAAATTGGAGTCAGATATGAGTTAAGTTTAATATAAATCAACATTGTGCACTGGAAAGACCGAACATGCAGTGAACCTTCATCCACCATTGGATACCGTCATTGGACCAACTGGCTGGACCCTACAAAATGGTGACCCATCTCCGTGATCTCCCAACTCAGGCAAGTTACGTCTTTCCAGCACAAAATGGATTTATATCAACCAAGAGGTTTGGATCTTCTATTCTATCTTCAGCTGCTGTGGTAAGTCAATTCTTCTTTGCCTATTAGAAATGTTGAGGGAAAGCTGGACGCACCCTATATAAACACATTGATAGAATGAGTCGGAAATGCTCAAAAATGTTAGACCGGAATGCGTTATCCGGTGGGGTTGAGAATTAGACAAAACCACTTTGATTATCAGGGACATGATAGCAGCAGTATAGATAAATGCCATCCCTTGCTCTGAAATCTCTTTGTCTGCTAGGCAGCAAGAGTTGAAGCTTAAAATTGGAATAACATCATCCAAATTATATTCTGGGACTCAGTGGAGAGTCATAAATTAGATCCTAAAAGTTTAAATTAAAAACTATCCATTGTTTTAAATCTACTGTTTTATAAAAAAGAGAAAAATGGAAAAAAGGAAAACAGGAAAAAAATGGTTTAAGATTTAAAAACAATTGTAAACTTTTAAATTGGATTAATAACAACAGTCTGTTTAAGGCATTTGCATGTGAAAAATAAAGGTGAGCAGAACAGAATGATTTGATTGCAAAAAAGACAAATAAGCTCTAATGAAAACTCTGCCTTTACAAATCAGAAATTTGCCATTTAAATTTAATGGTGATAAATTCAAATATGGTGCTGATCAACTACACTGTAATCCCGAATAAGTTGACAAAACTTAAAAAAAATTTGAGGCAATCAGTTATGTCAAATTTTTTAAGTTATGAAATTATCTATTTTAAGTGAACAGAAACATTAAGTTTTGAGTTTGTTATACTCATGCAAGACACTTCAACTAACTTAAAATACCCAAGTTACTCAACTTATACATTTTAATTGCAATTAACTTAATTATTTTAATTTTTCCAAACTTTAAATACTTAGTCACCCAGCTCATACATTTTAATACCAATTAACTTAATTGCTTTAATTTCTTTCAACTTTAAATACTTAAATCACCCAGCTGATAGCATTTTTTAAAGATTACATTTTTTCAAACTCAAAAATAAGAAAAAGTTCTGAATACTCATTAAGGTTAATTAAGATAAACGAATTTTAAGGATTTAAGTTAATAGAGCTCAATTCAATTAATTAGTTACAGCATTAGGGTTTACAGTGTAAAATATCCACTATACTTTAATTTAATCTCAAAACAGACTAAATATAAAAGAAATTCTAAGATTTTAACTTTAAATCAGCCCTTAGACCTTCTGATGGCTCAAACCTTTTCATATTCAAATGTCCTGACAGAGAGCAGAGAAATCTCACCTCAGTGATAATAAGATGCTCAGAATGTGTTTGCTGTATTTGCATAAAACAATAACATTCTTCCATTTGGCTACAAGCCTTTGCTGACCCTTTTGTTCTCCATGCAACCTAAAAGCAAACACAGCCCTGATCACAAGATAAAAGCATTAAGCTAAAATGCACTGCCATTCTAAAAACACTCTCCAGAGACCAGATATAATTATATTTAATACATACTATTTTTAATATAATATAATTACATTAGGAATAAACAATAATGTACATTATATTATAATCGCCAATCATGGCACTAAAGACCAAGGGTGAAACATTCACCTTGAGGAGGTTTGCTTTCTTTATGCTTAATGAAAACACTGACAGAACTACTATAGCATAACTGATTGTAAACCAATATAATCCTCGCTGAAAAACACCACCTACAATTAAAATTTGATCAGAGAATTAAACTCACCAGAAAAATAATGAAAGGGGGATGGATATGATAACATTCAGAGTTAACAAAGTTTTTATGGGTCAAAAGATCTAACCTGTGAGTCACACCATAAAATGACAACCGTTAAGCAGAGAACACTGTAAGAATTGAAATATTGCAAATATTCTGATGTCTTTGACAATTCAAAACATGAGCTGAAAACAGAGACTGGTAACTTCACAACTCAGCAAGGGGAATGCGGGAAAAACCAGTTCCTGCTGCATTTGCATCTGAGTCTGCTTCATCCCCCTAACTCACACATATGGTCATTTCAATGTTTGAATGTTCTAGAATTAACCAAACTGACTTTAACTATCATGTTTGATATCATTTGAAATGTCTCAGTGCGATTGGTACAATGGTCTCATTCTCTCAGAAATAGACATAATCAGAACAATAAATATATAACTTCAGGCATCTTTTGATCCACTGTGAGGGGTGTGACACTAAGTGTGAATGCCTTTTGTTATACATTCACACCCCCTTCCTTGAGGGAATTCTTGGATTATTTAAGGTAAGGCCTAAGAAGGACTCAGGGCGATTCTGCCTACCCAGATCAGCCCATAACGTGGAGCTTAGGCTCCACGTTATGTAAAATTTACACGTTATGTAAAAAGTCAGGAATGCATCTTTTAATCTTGGATTTATCTTTGATAATTTGATGTTTTGTATTGATCGTTTATTAATTGACTGATTGAATTGGCATAATACATTTACCTGACTAATAAATTGTTATGTTTTGAACTATTCAAACCTCGTGTTATTATCACTGATAAATGTTGTTGTCCATAGCACTACAAGCCACTGTACAGGTTAGTAACGGACTAAAACATGTTAGACGGAGCAGCGTGGCACGCTAGACAATGTTGTTAGAGATCCGACTAGCAAATTGGCATTATTTCATGTATACTTGGACTGTAAAAGGCCAACTATTTAGAACAACAAAATATTGTTGAAACTACTTTAAATGTGGATATTTAGGTCTTCATCTACAATAGTATAATCCTGCGCGATTATTATTAAAATACTCTGTCTTGAATTAGTAGATAACAGATCCATGGGGACCACATAAAAATCTCCTAAATTGAGTAAGTAGTGTTCTGCCTTCTTAGGAGAGTGGTTAATCGCCTCTGTTTAATGACCAAGACTGACAAGCTTGTATTAAGAGATTGTATACCCGGCCGGTGCAAGACTCGAGATGCTATCGGAATCTGAGTAAATGAAAATAAGGTATAATAACAAATCAAAAGAATATTCAATCATAATCTAAAATAATGTGAAAGGAAACAAAATAATCTTATCAATGTTTTATAATTGGAGTCAGATAAAACGAGGATAAACATATTAATATTCTAAACCACCTCATACTAAAATTGGAGTCAGATATGAGTTAAGTTTAATATAGATCAACATTGTGCACTGGAAAGACCGAACATGCAGTGAACCTTCATCCACCATTGGATACCGTCATTGGACCAACTGGCTGCACCCTACAAAATGGTGACCCATCTCCGTGATCTCCCAACTCAGGCGAGTTACGTCTTTCCAGCACAAAATGGATTTATATCAAGCAAGAGGTTTGGATCTTCTATTCTATCTTCAGCTGCTGTGGTAAGTCAATTCTTCTTTGCCTATTAGAAATGTTGAGGGAAAGCTGGACGCACCCTATATAAACACATTGATAGAATGAGTCGGAAATGCTCAAAAATGTTAGACCGGAATGCGTTATCCGGTGGGGTTGAGAATTAGACAAAACCACTTTGATTATCAGGGACATGATAGCAGCATTATAGATAAATGCCATCCCTTGCTCTGAAATCTCTTTGTCTGCTAGGCAGCAAGAGTTGAAGCTTAAAATTGGAATAACATCATCCGAATTATATTCTGGGACTCAGTGGAGAGTTATAAATTAGATCCTAAAAGTTTAAATCAAAAACTATCATTGTTTTAAATCTACTGTTTTATAAAAAAGAGAAAAATGGAAAAAAGGAAAACAGGAAAAAATGGTTTAAGATTTAAAAACAATTGTAAACTTTTAAATTGGATTAATAACAACAGTCTGTTTAAAGGCATTTGCATGTGAAAAATAAAGGTGAGCAGAACAGAATGATTTGATTGCAAAAAAGACAAATAGGCTCTAATGAAAAATCTGCTTTTACAAATCAGAAATTTGTCATTTAAATATAATGGTGATAAATTCAAATATGATGCTGATCAACTACACTGTAATCCCGAATAAGTTGACAAAACAAAAAAAATTTGAGGCAATCAGTTATGTCAAATTTTTTAAGTTATGAAATTATCTATTTTAAGTGAACAGAAACATTAAGTTTTGAGTTTGTTATACTCATGCAAGACACTTCAACTAACTTAAAATACCCAAGTTACTCAACTTATACATTTTAATTGCAATTAACTTAATTATTTTAATTTTTCCAAACTTTAAATACTTAGTCACCCAGCTCATACATTTTGATAGCATTTTTTAAAGATTACATTTTTTCAAACTCAAAAATAAGAAAAAGTTCTGAATACTCATTAAGGTTAATTAAGATAAACGAATTTTAAGGATTTAAGTTAATAGAGCTCAATTCAATTATTTAGTTACAGCATTAGGGTTTACAGTGTAAAATATCCACTATACTTTAATTTAATCTCAAAACAGACTAAATATAAAAGAAATTCTAAGATTTTAACTTTAAATCAGCCCTTAGACCTCCTAATTGCTCAAACCTTTTCATATTCAAATGTCCTGACAGAGAGCAGAGAAATCTCACCTCAGTGATAATAAGATGCTCAGAATGTGTTTGCTGTATTTGCATAAAACAATTACATTCTTCCATTTGGCCATAAGCCTTTGCTGACCCTTTTGTTCTCCATGCAACTTACAAGCAAACACAGCCCTGATCACAAGATAAAAGCATTAAGCTAAAATGCACTGTTGTTCTAAAAACACTCTCCAGAGACCAGATATAATTAAATTTTAATATTTACTATTTTAATATAATATAATTACATTAGGAATAAACAATAATGAACATTATATTATGATCGCTAATCATGGCACTAAAGACTAAAGATGAAACATCTTTCATCTTGAGGAGGTTTGCTTTCTTTATGCTTAATGAAAACACTGACAGAACTACTATAGCATAACTGATTGTAAACCAATAAAATCCTCGCTGAAAAACACCACCTACAATTAAAATTTGATCAGAGAGTTAAACTCACCAGAAAAATAATGAAAGGGGGATGGATATGATAACATTCAGAGTTACCAAAGTTTTTATGGGTCAAAAGATCTAAGAATCTGTGAGTCACACCATAAAATGACAACCGTTAAGCAGAGAACACCAAAAGGGTGAAATGATTTCTGCCAACAAATCTGACTGTTAATGAGAGCAAAAAATGAACTATGGGTATCGGCCCATTAGATTGTGAACTGAAATTAATGAAAAATCATTGATTGATTCAGAAAAATGTCCCCAGCGGAACTGGGAGATAATGCTCAGAATACAGCAGACTGTATAAACAGATGTACACACTCACAATATGCTGAAATCAACAACAGCAATTCACATCTGACCAGCAACATCATGTGGCTTCCAGAATTAATATTGCAAGATGATGCATTAACATTAATTCCACATGATTGAATTTGAAACTGATGAAAATTCTAAAAATGGTTCTCTCTGCTTTTGTTCTCATCTTAGGCGGACCAATAACAAAGAACACTCCAGATCCGGTCCACATCAAACAAATACAAATGAGGGCAACAAAAGGTTAAGCCATAACCTGAGAGGCCAAAAGTCTTCCATCTTGCATCTCAAAGCAAGAACCCCTGTGGTGCTAACACCTCACCTGCAGTGAGTCCTCTGAAAAAAGTCTTTGATCAGTCATCAGAATAACAATTATCCACAGCTGATCTTATCAATGGATTCAGCATTGTAGGAGGCTTTGTGATTTCACAAAACAGAGACATGAAAGATCTCATAGTTAAAATCTTCCCAAATTGCTTAATAGCAATGGGACTAAAACCCTGGTTACCTAGAGGCGATAAAGAACTTTACTGCATTGTTCCTGCAAAGACCAATAGCAACAGACTCTATTGTCACGAATCCTGGTGGCATTTTTAAATTTGTTTTTATACTATACACATGTTAAACCACATGTCCTGTATGAAAATGGAATTAACTATGTTGAAATTCATGATATTTGTTTCTTTGATCTCCAAAAGTAGAAAACTCTGCTATCCCCTGTATAGCTGCAGTTTAAACTACAAACAGGAGTATAGAGTGTGATAATTAAATTAACCATGAAAATGCATTTTTTACAGGATCCAGCTTTGAACATTGCACCTTAACATGCTCCGTAAAAGATATTATATGGAATCAATTTGAGCCGGAACACACCTCATGTTCACATTCTTATGCTGGCTCCCTGCTAAGACAGGACTAAAATTTTGCAACACAATTATAAAAGTTGATTACCATTGTTCGGAGCATTACACTGACACATAGCCACAGGTAAACCCAGGCACATAGATAACACCTTAGTCTTCAAAGACCCAGGAGTCAAATCTCCTTAATTGAGATCGTTTGTCCATGTTTATACAAACAAAACACATTAGCCTCACACACATAGAACAGAATAATTAATCTGATGACAGACGAGACAACAAACACCCTCTGACACCCTCTGTCAGCTGAAAAGAAATTACACATTTGCATGGCTTTGACAACAAATTGATGGTATAAAACTTCAATAAAGGCGAATTTGCCGATAAATTTAAGGATAGATACACTGACTGTTATGAGGATGGTTGACAAACCAGAGGGCCCCTGGTTTTCCAATCTATCACCAATAACAGGTATAAGTGCTAAAGTGATTAAAATTAAACCGAAGTGAGGACACTTCTAATAATCACTAGGACATTTAAATTTGACAAATACCATCAATTGTGTTCAAGCCCCCCCACACGCACATAAACACACACACACACACACACACACACACACACACACACACACACACACACCACACAACATACACACACAAACACACACATTATTATAGATATACCTTCATAATTATGGTTAAATAATGTGATTACTATCATGTATGACAAATATCTTCACGTTTTTTTTTCATTTTGAAAATGAATGTCATTTATTTGAATGTATTGTCATGATGATATGTTTTATGATGCATACTGCCTGTTATACTGTTTTAATAAGTTGCACTGACCTTTTGATAGCTTTACCTTGAGTAATTCAAACCAAGAATATTTAATATTCTCCCTATCATTATACCCTATCTCAGTGGTGACAAAGACTTATCTGTTTTTGATTGGACCATTTAAACAGATTGAAAGAGACCTGAGACCAGTTGTACGACTCGCACTTGCTGACTTTTATGTTTTGATCATATATTTTATGCTTAACCTCATGACTTTCTCCAATGCAGAATGACACAAGTTCATAACTGTTCAATCGCTGAGCCATCAAGTTGCTGTTTAGGTGTCCGAGAGAAGGCAGTGTATACACACTGTAGACCCCCACATGCCGATGTCTGCATATCTGGAGATAACCAGATTCATCAGAAGAAGCAGACTATGAGAAGCCCACACGACGTGGACACTTTTGTCAGGGGAAGGACACAGTGGAAGCTATGAAGGCCTGTATGGACTGAATGAGCAGTGCATTCGGGTCAGGCTCATCAAAAGAGGTGAAAACGAGCCTGGACCTGTTTAGCTACCTGCTGAACACGACTTACAACTGATAATGCTGCAGAGACTGTCTTGAATTGCCCCTGAACGACCTCAACAAGGATACATAGTGACCCCATGGACACATTTATATCTGACCCACGGGATCAAATGGGGGTTATCTGTAAGAATTGAAATATTGCAAATATTCTGATGTCTTTGACAATTCAAAACATGAGCTGAAAACAGAGACTGGTAACTTCACAACTCAGCAAGGGGAATGCGGGAAAAACCAGTTCCTGCTGCATTTGCATCTGAGTCTGCTTCATCCCCCTAACTCACACATATGGTCATTTCAATGTTTGAATGTTCTAGAATTAACCAAACTGACTTTAACTATCATGTTTGATATCATTTGAAATGTCTCAGTGCGATTGGTACAATGGTCTCATTCTCTCAGAAATAGACATAATCAGAACAATAAATATATAACTTCAGGCATCTTTTGATCCACTGTGAGGGGTGTGACACTAAGTGTGAATGCCTTTTGTTATACATTCACACCCCCTTCCTTGAGGGAATTCTTGGATTATTTAAGGTAAGGCCTAAGAAGGACTCAGGGCGATTCTGCCTACCCAGATCAGCCCATAACGTGGAGCTTAGGCTCCACGTTATGTAAAATTTACACGTTATGTAAAAAGTCAGGAATGCATCTTTTAATCTTGGATTTATCTTTGATAATTTGATGTTTTGTATTGATCGTTTATTAATTGACTGATTGAATTGGCATAATACATTTACCTGACTAATAAATTGTTATGTTTTGAACTATTCAAACCTCGTGTTATTATCACTGATAAATGTTGTTGTCCATAGCACTACAAGCCACTGTACAGGTTAGTAACGGACTAAAACATGTTAGACGGAGCAGCGTGGCACGCTAGACAATGTTGTTAGAGATCCGACTAGCAAATTGGCATTATTTCATGTATACTTGGACTGTAAAAGGCCAACTATTTAGAACAACAAAATATTGTTGAAACTACTTTAAATGTGGATATTTAGGTCTTCATCTACAATAGTATAATCCTGCGCGATTATTATTAAAATACTCTGTCTTGAATTAGTAGATAACAGATCCATGGGGACCACATAAAAATCTCCTAAATTGAGTAAGTAGTGTTCTGCCTTCTTAGGAGAGTGGTTAATCGCCTCTGTTTAATGACCAAGACTGACAAGCTTGTATTAAGAGATTGTATACCCGGCCGGTGCAAGACTCGAGATGCTATCGGAATCTGAGTAAATGAAAATAAGGTATAATAACAAATCAAAAGAATATTCAATCATAATCTAAAATAATGTGAAAGGAAACAAAATAATCTTATCAATGTTTTATAATTGGAGTCAGATAAAACGAGGATAAACATATTAATATTCTAAACCACCTCATACTAAAATTGGAGTCAGATATGAGTTAAGTTTAATATAGATCAACATTGTGCACTGGAAAGACCGAACATGCAGTGAACCTTCATCCACCATTGGATACCGTCATTGGACCAACTGGCTGCACCCTACAACACCAAAAGGGTGAAATGATTTCTGCCAACAGATCTGACTGTTAATGAGAGCAAAAAAATGAACTATGGGTATCGGCCCATTAGATTGTGAACTGAAATTAATGAAAAATCATTGATTGATTCAGAAAAATGTCCTCAGCGGAACTGGGAGATAATGCTCAGAATACAGCAGACTGTGTAAACAGGTGTTACACACTCACAGATCTGACCAGCAACATCATGTGGCTTCCAGAATTAATATTGCAAAATGATGCATTAACATTAATTCCACATGATTGAATTTGAAACTGATGAAAATTCTAAAAATGGTTCTCTCTGCTTTTGTTCTCATCTTAGGCGGACCAATAACAAAGAACACTCCAGATCCGGTCCACATCAAACAAATACAAATGAGGGCAACAAAAGGTTAGGCCATAACCTGAGGCCAAAAGTCTTCCATCTTGCATCTCAAAGCAAGAACCCCTGTGGTGCTAACACCTCACCTGCAGTGAGTCCTCTGAAAAAAGTCTTTGATCAGTCATCAGAATAACAATTATCCACAGCTGATCTTATCAATGGATTCAGCACTGTAGGAGGCTTTGTGATTTCACAAAACATCTTACTTCAACTAAGATGTAAATTATTATATGTTAAATTAAACAGAGACATGAAAGATCTCATGGTTAAAATCTTCCCAAATTGCTTAATAGCAATGGGACTAAAACCCTGGTTACCTAGAGGCGATAAAGAACTTTACTGCATTGTTCCTGCAAAGACCAATAGCAACAGACTCTATTGTCACGAATCCTGGTGGCATTTTTAAATTTGTTTTTATACTATACACATGTTAAACCACATGTCCTGTATGAAAATGGAATTAACTATGTTGAAATTCATGATATTTGTTTCTTTGATCTCCAAAAGTAGAAAACTCTGCTATCCCCTGTATAGCTGCAGTTTGAACTACAAACAGGAGTATAGAGTGTGATAATTAAATTAACCATGAAAATGCATTTTTTACAGGATCCAGCTTTGAACATTGCACCTTAACATGCTCCGTAAAAGATATTATATGGAATCAATTTGAGCCGGAACACACCTCATGTTCACATTCTTATGCTGGCTCCCTGCTAAGACAGGACTAAAATTTTGCAACACAATTATAAAAGTTGATTACCATTGTTCGGAGCATTACACTGACACATAGCCACAGGTAAACCCAGGCACATAGATAACACCTTAGTCTTCAAAGACCCAGGAGTCAAATCTCTTTAGTTAAGATCTTTTGTCCATGTTTATACAAACAAAACACATTAGCCTCACACACATAGAACAGAATAATTAATCTGATGACAGACGAGACAACAAACACCCTCTGACACCCTCTGTCAGCTGAAAAGAAATTACACATTTGCATGGCTTTGACAACAAATTGATGGTATAAACTTCAATAGAGGCGAACTTGCCATAGATACACTGACTGTTGTGGGGATGGTTGACAAATCAGAGGGCCCCTGGTTTTCCAATCTATCACCAATAACAGGTATAAGTGCTAAAGTGATTAAAATTAAACCGAAGTGAGGACACTTCTAATAATCACTAGGACATTTAAATTTGACAAATACCATCAATTGTGTTCAAGCCCCCCCACACACACATAAACACACACACACACACACAAACACACACAAACACACACACACACACATAAACACACACACACACACACACACACACACACACACCACACAACATACACACACAAACACACACATTATTATAGATATACCTTCATAATTATGGTTAAATAATGTGATTACTATCATGTATGACAAATATCTTCACGTTTTTTCATTTTGAAAATGAATGTCATTTATTTGAATGTATTGTCATGATGATATGTTTTATGATGCATACTGCCTGTTATACTGTTTTAATAAGTTGCACTGACCTTTTGATAGCTTTACCTTGAGTAATTCAAACCAAGAATATTTAATATTCTCCCTATCATTATACCCTATCTCAGTGGTGACAAAGACTTATCTGTTTTTGATTGGACCATTTAAACAGATTGAAAGAGACCTGAGACCAGTTGTACGACTCGCACTTGCTGACTTTTATGTTTTGATCATATATTTTATGCTTAACCTCATGACTTTCTCCAATGCAGAATGACACAAGTTCATAACTGTTCAATCGCTGAGCCATCAAGTTGCTGTTTAGGTGTCCGAGAGAAGGCAGTGTATACACACTGTAGACCCCCACATGCCGATGTCTGCATATCTGGAGATGACCAGATTCATCAGAAGAAGCAGACTATGAGAAGCCCACACGACGTGGACACTTTTGTCAGGGGAAGGACACAGTGGAAGCTATGAAGGCCTGTATGGACTGAATGAGCAGTGCATTCGGGTCAGGCTCATCAAAAGAGGTGAAAACGAGCCTGGACCTGTTTAGCTACCTGCTGAACACGACTTACAACTGATAATGCTGCAGAGACTGTCTTGAATTGCCCCTGAACGACCTCAACAAGGATACATAGTGACCCCATGGACACATTTATATCTGACCCACGGGATCAAATGGGGGTTATCTGTAAGAATTGAAATATTGCAAATATTCTGATGTCTTTGACAATTCAAAACATGAGCTGAAAACAGAGACTGGTAACTTCACAACTAAGCAAGGGGAATGCGGGAAAAACCAGTTCCTGCTGCATTTGCATCTGAGTCTGCTTCATCCCCCCAACTCACACATATGGTCATTTGAATGTTTGAATGTTCTAGAATTAACCAAACTGACTTTAACTATCATGTTTGATATCATTTGAAATGTCTCAGTGTGATTGGTACAATGGTCTCATTCTCTCAGAAATAGACATAATCAGAACAATAAATATATAACTTCAGGCATCTTTTGAACCACTGAGAGGGGTGTGCCACTAAGTGTGAATGCCTTTTGTTCACACCCCCTTCCTTGAGGGAATTCTTGGATTACTTAAGGCAAGGTTTGAGAAAAACTCAGGGCGATTCTGCCTACCCAGATCAGCCCATAACATGGGGTCTGCCCCATGTTATGTATATTTCAAAGTCAGGAATGCATCTTTTTCATCTTGGATTTATCTTTGATAATTTGATGTTTTGTATTGATCATTTATGAATTGACTGATTGAATTGGCATAATACATTTACCTGACTAATAAATTGTTATGTTTTGAATGATTCAAACAGAGTTCGTGTTATTATCTTTAGTAGATTGTGGTAATTTCATAGCACCACAAGCCCCTGTTCAGGTTAGTAGCGGACTAGAACACGGTAGACGGAGCATTGCGGCACGTTACACGATGTCTCTAGAGCTCCGACTAACAAATTGGCATTTATTCATGTATACTTAGGCTGTAAAAGGATATCTAAGGGGATAGTCCTTCACCCGATAAACTTTTAATACTATTTAGATAGTATAGTGATTATTCAAAGTTACTACTAGTTTAAGTACGACTGGTCTGCTTAATTCTATAGTAATGATCGTTATATGACTAAATAGCTCTGTCTGATTTAGGAGGTAGCAGACCTATGGGGACCACATAAAAAATATCCTAATCTGAGTAAGTAGGGTTCTGCCTTTTTAGGATAGCGGTCAATCGCCCCTGTTTAGTGACCAAGACTGACATGCTTGTGCTTAAGAAATTGTATACTCGGCCGGTACAAGATTCAGGATGTTATAGAGATCCCAATGAACGAGAATAACATAAAATGATGAACCGAAGAGAATATTCAATCATAATCTAAAATAATGTGAAAGGAAACAAAATAACCTTCTCAATGTTTTATAATTGGAGTCAGATAAAACGAGGATAAACATATTAATATTCTAAACCATCTCATACTAAAATTGGAGTCAGATATGAGTTAAGTTTAATATAAATCAACATTGTGCACTGGAAAGACCGAACATGCAGTGAACCTTCATCCACCATTGGATACCGTCATTGGACCAACTGGCTGGACCCTACATTACCAAAATAAAATATGATCATGTCTTGATTTTTAATGATTTAATTAGGACAGTAAGGCCTGATTTTGCTTAGACAAAAGTCTTGTCACTAAACAGAAATAATTTACAGTATAGAATATAAAGTCATGCTGTAGTGGGAAAAGAGTTAATATTGTGTACGACTCCCATAAGCTTGGAGGACTGCAACCATTCATCTCTGCAATGACTCAAATCACTTATTAATAAAGTCATCTGGAATGGCAAAGAAAGCGTTCTCCCAGAGTTCATCAAGATTCTTTAGATTCATCTTCAATGCCTCCTTCTTCATCTTACCCCAGACATGCTCAATAAAGTTCATAACTGGTGACTGGGCTGGCCAATCTTAGGGCACCTTGACCTTCTTTGCTTTCAGCAACTTTGATGTAGAGGCTGAAGAGCCCTATCCTGCTAAAAAATTTGCTCTCTCCTGTGGTTTGTGATGTAATGGGCAGCATGATGTGTTGATACCTCAGGCTGTTGATGTTGCCATCCACTCTGCAGATCTCTCACACGCCCCCATACTGAATGAAACCCCAAACCATGGTTTTTCCTTCACCAAACTTGACTGATTTCTCGTTCCAATAGGTCTTCTGCAGTGTTTGTGATGATTGGGATGCAGTTCAACAGATGATTCATCAGAAACATCGACCTACCACTTTTGCAAATGATCAACTGGAAGTCAAGTCATTGTTTGTTGCTCTTACAACTGGGATCAACAACAAGACTTCTGTCAGGTAGTGTATATGGTAAAATAGGAAGTATTTGGAAAAGATTAAATTCTGAATTTTAAACAGTGTACCTGCGAAACCTGCTCAAAGAGATATGGACGCACTGTCACTCGTGTTTTCATTTCCTTCAGCTCTCTTTGATAATCTTTTATTCTCTCCAGATCAGCTAGCCTAGGTGAACAAGCATCCATAATCAGTAATTATATTCCAGATGGCTTATTCAATCAGATTTTTTTTTTTTACAAACTCCTCACCGATGCTGTTTGAGTTTCTCCTGGTAGACCTCTTTGAGACTCTTATGGGGGTCCATTGCTTTTGCTCTCATCGCCACTGCTTTGCTCATAGCCTGAGATCTGATTCTGTGCTGCTTCATCCAGTCTGCATTCTCCTGCTCCTTCAGGTCCTTTAGCTCCAGAGATCTCCTATATGACACAGTATAAATTACCCTTTTAAAATATGATTATTTTTATTAGGATATCAGTTTTATTTAATAAACCAACACTTAATTATACTGGAATAAATACTGCTGATTATGTTTGTCGCAAAAAAAAAATTCAAAGGATGATGGCTTTTTATTTGCATGTTGTTTTTTAATGTTTATTATTAAAAACAATGTTACTATTAACTACTATTTTGTTCTTCAGTAGGTTATGGATAAAATATGGTCATTCTAATAGCTTAATAAAATAAATTAGAGTTTTGGAGATTGCCAAGCGCCAGGCCAAGGCACAGTTTGATAGTACAAGGGCTAGTGCTTTAATTGATACAAAGGTCCCCAAGGTATGCCAAGATTATATTCCCACACTATTACACCACTTTTAATTTAATTTTGTTGTTTATTACAAATTTTGGCCATACTGTACTATCTGTAATAAATGCAGCATAAATCGAAACTCAGACCTTATTCCAATCTTCTATTGACCAATTTTGGTGTAAACTGTATTACACAAATTTAAAAATGAACAATTATAAACATGCTTTTTTTAACTTTCATTAAAATCTAGTGAAATCATAAGTTGTGCAAAAAAGACTATGACTGTATTATAAAAATAGGTAACACCTAATTGTTTCTCTTACGTTTATATTCTTTAGCTGTTAATATAATACTTCACGTCTATGGAAGAGAGAGTCAATAAAGATAGAGAATGTGTAACAGCATATTTATCAAAAGACGGTTTATGTGCAAGTACACCGGTCCGAGCAGGGAGCGAGCCGTGTAACACCGGCATGGGAGACAAGCTCTGAGGATGCTAAAGATTGCAGAACAACGTCTGTCACTGGATCCGAGGAGTGAGATTTACGTGATCACCAGCTGGCTTCCCTTACATAAGGGCAAATATAGATGACTAAAACCTCATTTACTCATTTTACTCATACTTTTTATTATTTATAATGTCCAAGGCATTGATATTAATATTAAATGCTTCCACTGAATTTATGGAAGCGAAAATTTGAACTGAAATAAAATCAACTGAAAATTGCCTTTTGAATATTAAACATCGTATTTTTAAAGGGTATTGAATATTTTGTAAGTGAAATCTGAAAATTTAATATGAATTATTGAATTTTTAAGTATGAAAACGTGTTTGAAATATTTTTTGTGAAATATTCACAGCTTAAATAAACAGATATGTTAAATTTCAGGACCTAAAAATACAAACCCTGGAATTCAAGTCATTAAAATGCAAGAACTTGTTAATATGGTGTATTATTTTTTTCAGTTTGTGCTGTTCAACAAGCTTTTTAATTCAAGACTTTTGGCATTGATTTTGTTCCATAATCCTTTATCATTTATTTTATAAAGGCAGATTTTATTTACTGCAAACAATACTTTCCTTACTCACAGTTTTTGTCTTTTTCTATTCCAAATATGTAAAAATTCTGTAATCAAGGAGCAATTTCTAGACAAGTAAAATTATCATCTTGTTTTCAGAAATAATATGTCAAAATTAAGTGAGGTTTTCTTTTTCAAAGCGAAAACAAGATTACCCCTTTGGCAGATTATTTCACTACTTTTAAGAAAAAACTCATTTCATTTTCAAGTGTTATTTCTAAAAACAAGGCAATATATTTTCTTGTCTAGAATACTCCTTGATTTAAGAATATTTTGATATTTGGCAAAGAAACCAGACAAAAACTCGAAGTAAGAAAAGCTTTTTTTTCGCAGTGTTGGTTTTTGGGTCATTGAAAAAATTCTGAAAAAATGTATTCTGTAAAACTACCAAGCTACTGGCTTAAATGCTTCAGTTAAAACTGTGAAAACATTATCAGTTTGACAACACAAATTCTCACAACACATGCAAATACAAAAACACACTGCAAATAGCACAAACCACAATAGACATGTGTCTGGGGTGATGAAAAATGTGATGAATCCGACTGCTTCCTGTTAAGAGGCATCGGTGTAGTCGGTATAACGTAACATTAAAATCACATTTCATTTACTGTTAATTGTGCAATTAGTCAGATTATTATGGCTAAAAAATCTGACTAAAACTCCTCTAGACCAAAAGCAGCCTGGTTCGTCATATTTTAGGGTCCCCGATAAATTTTCAATGTGGTCTATTTGCAGAACATTTCTGTTTTTGCATGTATTGTGAAAATGTGTGTGTGTATGTGTAACATCACTGGTCCTACACCACCCAACACACTCTGAGCTGGATCGAACTGGCGACTTTTTGCATGAGAGTCGGTTGCTCTACCAAAAAGGCTAAAGTCCATGGCCTCTAGTGTCCGTTGCTAGAGCACCTTTTAGAAGTCAGAGAAGTGAGGTTTACCTGCACAGCACTTCACTAGCTGGCCTCTGCTACATATACGTGGTCAAACTAATTAAGATGTTTTCCAAATTTACATGTTTTTTTTTAAGTTAATTTACCCACCCCCCAAAAATGTGTGTTATTATACTCATTCTCATGGTATTACAACCCTGTCCATCATCAGAGCACAAACATTTATATTAAGATATTTTAGGTGAAACCTGAGAGCGACAGTCCCAAGCTTGTTCAAAATCAGACAAATGCCAAAAATCATCTTCAAGTCAAGACACACCATGTGTCTTCAGTGGTTAAATTAAAATATTAGCCAGCTATGAGGATACTTTTGTTTGCACATAAAACAAAAATAGTTTCTTTTCCTCAGTGTCAGTATATTGTGCACATTGGATAAAGTTGTTATTTTTGTTTTATGTGCGCACAAACGTGCTCTCATAGCTTCTAAACATTCCAGTTGAGCAACTGAAGGTATATAAGGTCTATTTTTAGAATGTTTTTTTTTTTATATATATATTTTTCTGGATTTTAAATAAATCAGCACTGTTGCTCTCAGATTTCATTCATTCATTCATTTTCTTGTCAGCTTAGTCCCTTTATTAATACAGGGTCGCCACAGCGGAATGAAGCGTCAACTTATCCAGCAAGTTTTTACGCAGCGGATGCCCTTCCAGCTGCAACCCATCTCTGGGAAACATCCACACACATATTCACACACATACTCATCCACTACGGACAATTTAGCCTACCCAATTCACCTGTACCACATGTCTTTGGACTGTGGGGGAAACCGGAGCACCCGTAGGAAACCCACACGAAGGCAGGGAGAACATGCAAACTCCGCACAGAAACGCCAACTGAGTCGAGGTTCGAACCAGCGACCTTCTTGCTGTGAGGCGACAGCACTACCTACTCCGCCACTTGTTTATCAAGATGAACATAACTTCATGTTTGGATGGGTCCCACTTTATATTAAGTGGCCTTAACTAATATGTACTTACATAGGAACTAATAGTTTGTTAAATACATGTATTTACTGTGTACTTATGCTTGATTAAATACATGTACGTAATTACATCTGTAATTAACTTTTGTAATTACATTTGTAAATACACTGTTGACCATCCCTTACACCTTAACCCACCCTTAAACCTACCCATGCCACCAAACTTGTCCATAACCCAACTCCTATCCTAACTCAAAAGCACCACAAGTGTTCTCAAATACATTATAAACACAGTAAGTACATTGTATTTATTTTTGATGTAAGTACATAGTAGTTAAGGACACTTAATATAAAGTGGGACCTTTGGATGAACTAACACTTTAACTTGCACTCTCAGCCACCATATTGCACAGATTAAATGCTTAAATGATTTGATGTAAACATGAGTAAGTGTCCGGCTCACCTTACAGCCATAGATCTTTTCCTCGCAGCATCTGTTATGTACGTTGGAAGAGTATCCATAGATAGAGATGTCAGGCCACCAAACGAACTGCTTCTCTTTATAGTCACCTTGTCTGTAGAATTCTAGTCATGAACAAAATCGAAAGGAATTATGTCAATGGTCATTTTAAAAGTTCTTCAAACCTCTAAAGTCACGTGAAAATAGCAACCTTTGAGTTTTCTGGACTCCGGTGGCGAGGCTGTAGTGTGGATGTGCGCAGCTGGAAGGGTTTACACTGAGTAACGTCTCGCCTTTCTGTCGTCTCCATTGACTTCTGTTGAAAGGCCTGGTGGAGCTTGTCAAAGTCAGGTACAGTGGTGTTAATTTTAGGTCTGAAGGAGAGCTCTTGGTCCAAATAACCCAGCATCTTGCTTTTGCTCTTCTGAGTGCTGCGAGGCTGCTTATCAGCACTGGCTTCCTGCTCTTGAATAGGAGCTGAAGCGGCTTTCAGAGTCTGTTGAGCTCTCAGATGAATGCGCATCTGCCTTTGCTGATCCTGTTCTGAATAGGCGTCACATGAATACAGTTTTAGTGTACAGTTAGGGTCAGTATACTGAAAATTTGATTTAATTAAACCAATAAACCATCATTTTTATTTAATAATAAATCAAATATACTGCATACGGATTTTAGTTTATACATAGACTACGGGTCAAAAGTTTATAATTGAGAAATGATTTTGTTTATGTCTCTCTAGAAAGCTGACCAAGACTGCATTTACTTGATCAAAAATATAATAAAACAGTGACATGATAATTTATTATTTAAGATTTTTATTGATGTAATGCAAACTCAAAATGTTTAGCGTCATTATTCCAGTTTTCAGTGTCACATGATCCTTTAGATTTTTTGTGTTTTTTATGTTTGTTTAAAGTGAAGTATGCACTGTGCTCCTGCATTATTAGATTGTGCTGCGTTAATCTTATAAACAGGGCATGATCCGCACTCATTGAGTAACTGTGTTACCTTTCTTTATTTTACTTTGTTCAGGGATATAAACACAAATTTTGGCTCAAATAAACACATTTTGGCTCACTCTGTGAAACTATTTTCTCCCTCCCTTTTTCAATTGTCAATTACATTACGTTATTATTAAATACAGTAGGGGAAATAAGTATTCAACACACCATGTTTTTTTTTTGTTTTTTTTCTGGGGACCTGTGACATGGAATTGAACCACATTTTGGTAAGAAAAAAAGTTCTTGCTGAAATGTCTACTCTGGTTACATCTTAATCATCCTGGTAATGCAAATGTTGAACTGAAGCAGCTGATATTAAATTACAATAATGAAGGGCAGAGGGTTGCTGAACAACTACTGAGAGATTTCCGTCACTGTCTGGACTTTCGCTGCCTTTTTACACCTTCCTTTCTTCATGTGTTCAATGCTTGTGTCCTGTTTCATTTCATTTTATTACACAAAACTTAATTTGTAAACTATTTAATATTGTTTTGTAGCATTTATGTTTTTTTTTTTGTTGTTACCAAAATCCACTGAAAATTTCAAGTCAACAGCAGCTTTAAAAATATGTTTTCTGAGAAAAATGGTGACGTGTTCAATACTTATTTCACCGAATGTACTTAATACAATCCAATGACATTTAAGATATGACATAATGCAGATCACGACCTTTTGAGCTACTATGTTTATTGATAAGAAACAGTTCATTTATTATTTTAATGTAAATTGCCATTCAAGGATGCTGAGAAAATTTTAATAAAATATGTTAAATATAATCAATTATAAATGAATATATGTTCTTTTAAACTTTCATTTCATTAAAAAATTCTGGAAAAAAAATCTAATTTTTCAAACAACACTAAGCAGCACAACTGTTTTTAGAATTGATATTTATAAAACATAATTAATATTTTCCAAAATCTTAATGCTTCTTCAACATCACAGCAGCATATTAAAATGGTTTCTTTGAGACATTCAAATGAGCAACTTAAGCTGCTAATAAAATCTTAACAATACATTCAAGAAGAAGCTTCTTTATTCTCATAATAATATTGTATAGTATAATTACTTCGACTGTATTTTTAATCGTAAAAATGATGATGAGAATAAAAAAAAAACATAAAAACAAATCTCAATGATTCCAAACGTTTGACTAAAAGTGTGGTTATTTAAAATAACCATTATATTTTATCTTTGATTAAATATTTAAATAAATGGCACCTTTCAATCGTTCAGAGAACCTGGGGTCTGAGACTGATTTCGGTATTGGTTTCCTCACATGAACCGGTTGTGTTTTTACACTTTTATTGGCAGAGGCCTTCTCCTCCCTCAGCCTCTCTCGCTTTTTCTCCTCCCTCTTGAGGAACATGAAGGGCTTCTGCATGGTCAAGAGGAAATCTCTTCTCTGCTCACGACCTTCCTGCCTCAAGCGCTCCTGTTCATGCATGAGGCCATCGTAAAGAGCTTTAGAGATGTGCTCAGGGACAGGAGCCACACGAAACTGTTTCTGACACTCAGCCAAATCTGCCTCCTCTTTGGCTTTCCGTGAGTCTTGGGGAAGAGGCTTCCTGTATCTCTCTATCTCTGTTCCCAAATAACGGCTTCCAGTAGTTCTTGCTGCCTTAATTCTATTTGAGGTAGAATTTCGAACAACCATTTTTGAGCTGAAAAACAATAGTAGACACAGTTGAAATCAAAATTAGAGAGCAACTTAAAGTTTCCTACTCTAAATTCCAAAGTCACTGTTTTGAAGATATCCTAACAGCCATAAAACACCTGTTTTTACCCCTTAACCGCACGGATGTAAGCTTGGTCTAATTTTAAAGAAGACAGATGTCAGATTGTAGGAGAAGTGAAAAGTTAAATAAGGGAAAAGTGATGTGTCTTTTTTTTTTATTATGAAAATAATAAAACAATAAATGTGTATTTTATTATATTACTTAAAGTATGTATTTTACAAAACCTGCTTTAGGCTAAAAGTGACAGAAATACAAAGCTAAATATGTGAACAAATTATATTGCAAATCGATATCTTAAAATATGAACTTTCAGTAAAATTTAGTTTGGCTGCAGTACCAGACGTGACCCCTAGATGACCATACAGTTTCCATTGGTGACCATACAAGAGCGCCCCCCTATGTTTTGAAAAATATGAACAATAATTTTCATACTTTTGACAATATTTGTAAAGTAGACATACAATTTTAAAGTAGTAAGGGCAGTTTGGTGGTATTTGAATTGAATTTAAACTCAAAAAAGCATCTAAAAATGTTAATGTGGATTGCTGTAGCAAGGTAATGCTTTACAACTGTGATTGTTGCAATTTTAATAAATACCTGTTGCTCAGTAATAACTATCAACAACAGTTGACAGTAACATTTAAGGGGTTAAATCTATTTCATGATTTACTTTAGCCTGATCTCATGAGGAAACGTAAAATTTTTAAATATTGTTTGAAAAGTCGCTAATTTGTACAAATTTGTACGATTGCATTAGTTTGAAAACTTACCATTTTTTTTTTATCCCAGCCCTAAACCTAACCTTAAGGGATGAGCAAATCATACTAAACTGTACAAATTAGATCATCATATAATTTAATATGAGTTAACCTCTAAATCAAACGCTCCAGAATTGCTGTGAAACTTATTTACAGTGCATCCAAAAGTTTTCACTTCGCTTGACTTTTTCCATAATTTTTTATGCTACCAATAGGTTTATAAGAGTATAACATTTTCTTGTTGCAAACAACTGCTTATGTTTTTATCACAGTAAATATTATGATCACAATATTGTCATAAGCTGCAAAAAAGTTCATGTAATGATATTAGAACAAAAAAAGAATACTTATTCAGAGTAAACAAATGTTTTAACGAAATTAAACTGCAAAAGGATTATAGAAATATTATAAAGGTACCACTTTACAATAATGGTTCATCAGTAAATGTTATTTATTAGATTTAAATCAACAGTACGAAATAGCTATGTTTAATACAGTTACTATGTTATCATTGCTTTAAAAATATAACTGAATGTTATTAGTTATTAACTAATAAAACAATTATGACTTGAAATTAGATTACGACTACGATTTTACCATGCTATTGAGCATTAACTAAGAAATAAATATCACAGGTTTATTTAAATTAACTAATGATAACTACTGAAGCCTTATTGCACAGTATCAATAGCCATATTAACTGAATTTTCAATCATTATTTCAGCATGTAGGAGGCCAGATTAACATTTTTAGAAATTCACGTTTGAACTATTAAACTAAAAAAGTAATTATTTCTCCAAACATTTGTCACTGAATCAGTTCATAACCAGGATACATTGACTTATTGAATATTGAAAATCCGAAATGGAAGAAATTCATTATTTTACTCATAATTCGACGAACAAAATCCCATAATGACAATGTATGAGGAAAAAAAAAAGAATTACAGCCTCTAGTCTTTTTGAGTGTGAAGAGCAAATGTTTTTGAAAATCTGCTGTCACATTTACAATATGAGCTACCTGTGGTGTTTACGATCCGGCCCATCATGATCGCTGATGCTCTGCTGCACTATATTGGTTTTAAGCATCCACTCAGTGCTGGTGGTCAGCAGTGAGTTCTGCAGGACCCTCTTCTCCAGGCCAGTCTGGTGCTGAAGCTCTAAATTCTCCACCTGCTGCTTGCGTTTGACCTTCAGAGCCTCCAAATGCAACTCCATAGATTGTTCAGTCTTCTTCCTGTCCTCTATAAGCGACAGCAGGCTTTCTGAAACATGCGCATTGTCTCCCTCTTCAGATCTAGAGAAATCTAAAGTGGGAGAGATCTGGACAGAGAATATGTATTTAGTCACATAACAAAAGTACTATAGTAAATTATAGTAAATTCTATGCTACTGTAAGGTGTATTGTACTTTCTACAAAATTCTACAACATTCTTTATGAAGCAGTATAAGCTATCGTTAGGCCCACACAGAATCTGCAAACGCAGTAAGACACAGTCTATTTATTTCATTATGTAATTGCATGTAAATCTATATTTATTCAGATTTTATATTTGTTTCACTACTTTTATTAAATAATATTTACAATACAATTTGTAAAGTAATATTTTCTGTCTTTAAGTAGATCTATTCAACGAAAGACTTGCTTTGTTTACCAAATAAGTGGATATATTAGGATTTGCATTGTAAACCTTAAATAATATTTTTATTCATTCATTCATTTTCCTTCGGCTTAGTCTCTGGTTTCCTCCGGTTGCTCCGGTTTTGCCCACAGTTCAGTTGGGTTGCAGCTGGAAGGGCATCCGCTGCCTAAAACATATGCTGGATAAGTTCCCTGCTGAAAAATCCAGCTTAAACCAGCCTATGCTGATTGGCTGGTTTTAGCTGGTCGACCAGGTTGGTTTTAGAGGGGTTTTGGCCATTTCCAGGCTGGTTTCCAGCCATTTCCAGCTTGGTCTTAGCTGGTCTGGCTGGAAAATTACCAGCCAAACCAGCTTGACCAGCTTAGGCTGGTTTAAGCTGGATTTTTCAGCAGGGTTGGTGGTTCATTCCGCTGTGGTGACCCCAGATTAATAAAGGCAATAAGCAAAAAAGAAAATGAATGAATAAATGATAATTGATTTGATGGAAAAAAAAAAACTGCCCTCAATTAAATTCCATTGGCCCAATGACTTTTTTTTTATTGTGTGTGTGTGCATTGGCCCCTATATACTGTAAGTCAAGCTAACACCACATTACTGTAGCTACATATAATACGTACTATAGCTACAAATAACAAAACTTTAACCTCTGATATCTATTATACAAATAATAATAATAATAATAATAATAATAATAATAATAATAATAAACCTAAACTTTATTCAGAAACTCAAATAAGGGCTGTTTTTACAATAAAAATCTGTGAAATGTTGCACTTTCACCTTTATTATTTGATATCTTTTTTTTTTTTTGCTTATTATTCAGTATGACTAACGTTGGTGACGTGGTGGCGCAGTGGGTAGCACGTTTGCCTCACAGCAAGACGGTCACTGGTTCAAGCCTCAGCTAGGTCAGTTGGCATTTCTGTGTGGAGTTTGCATGTTCTCCTTGTGTTTGCGTGGGTTTCCTCTGGGTGCTCCAGTTTCATCCATGTCCAAAGACATGTGGTACAGGTGATTTGGGTATGCTAAAATTGACCATAGTGTTGAGTGCGTGTGTGTGATGTTTCCCAGTAATGGGTTGCAGCTGGAAGGGCATCCACTGCGTAAAACTGGATACGTTTCCAGCTCATTCCGCTGTGGCGACCCTAGATTAATAAAAGTACTAAGCTGAAAAGAAAATGAATGAATGCATGAATGACTAATGTTCATTACATAATTGAAGTTCAAATACAATCTTGTAAGCATTTGCAAAACAATTACTAAGTTGTTCAAATTAGTACTCATATTTTGAGGAAACACTTCTGAAAAAGCATAACATGCTATATGCCCAAACTCAGTCCTGGGGGCCGGTGTCCTGCAGATTTTAGCCCCAACTTGCCTCAACACAGCTGCACGAATGTTTCTAGAAAATGCAGTGAGAGCTTGATTAGCCAGCCCAGGTGTCTAATTAGGGTTAGAACTAAACTTTGCAGGACACCGGCCCTCCAGGACAGACACCCCTGCTATATACTGTGCTTAATACAATATGTGTCCTTATATTATTGTTATTTGGCAGAGAGCAAACACTGAACAAAATTTAGACAAAATTATTATCAAAATGTTATTTCTGTTTATAAACGCGTATAAGAAAACACCATTTTATGTAAAAAAAAAAAAAAAAAATCGTAGATTGTTTTTTCTTGGGGAGTCCTATTGTTGAATGTCAACAGCAAATGATGTTACTATGGCAACCCCAAACGCACATAGTTACGCTGTTATTGCTGTGTTTACCGCCGCCAAAAGCAATTTAATCAATTCTATGAACAATAAAACATGCATGTTAATCTTTGCGAATCAATAAATGCACCCAAAAAATGTCACATAACGTTAATGGTTTAACACAAACTCGGCTAATTCGTAATCTCCTCCGCCATCGTTGCTTTTATTTCTCTCACCATTGTCATCTGATCCATGGTGTGATCAGGCCCGTAAGGAGGACATCATCATTCAAATACTGATCCATCAACTGTGAAAGATCAAAGCACAGTCCATTTCATAGGAATCGCCAAATATCATGATCTCTGCTGCACCGGTGACCAGCCTTTTCTCCACCCACCAGCGCCTCAGCATAACACACACACATACTGCGCTGTGTGCTATAGAGTAACAGTATGTTCTACAGGAATATTAGACACAAACCATATCATTTTAGACGGTAAACAGTTTATTCAGCAACAAAACACAAGATACATGTTTGATTTCTGCATTTACATATAAACAAACCGAATGCACTAGTTTCCCGCCAAGACGACAGATGGCGCTAAAAAGAACACGCTTCCACAGTGCTTCCACCTCTGAAAAAGAACAGGGAAGTAAACGTTGTTTTAAAAGACAAGTTTGCATTATATAGCACTGTCTGGCGTCTGTTTTGCAGAATGAATGCATATTAAATTTTAATATTGATGCACATGAATCATTTGCTTGATTTAGGTAGCCTTTACAACCCGGAAGGATAGTGGCAAACTGTACTATTACGTACTGTATTCTCTGTCAACAACATGGCCGGATGATAAACAGAGTAGTATACCGTTATTGTCAATGACAGGGCAAATTTAACGGGTGCTCATATATATTTTCTATAAGACTTTTTTGTTTGTTATTTTTATTCGCAACACGCAAGAATGCTGTCTCTGGCTAAAGCTAAGCTAGCCGTGGTCGGGATAGGACGCCAGTGTGTTGCAGTGAGGACACTCAATGGAGCTCGAGCAGTGCACAGAAGCTTCTCGTCCTCTGAGCACGACCAGGATTCCAGCACTTCTGAAAACGAGCTCTTTGACATTATAATATCTGGCGGGGGAATGGTGGGCACAGCTATGGCATGCTCATTAGGTGAGTGAGCGTCCCTAGCCAGCACCCATAATAATAACCCAATAAGCGTTTGCCCCTTTAGTTTCAAACCCCATAAGTGCACCCTTTAAAGTCGTAATGAAGCCTTTCCGTCACTTTTCTTCACCCCCTGTTTTTTCACACAAACGAGAGGTTGTTATTTTGTTTGATGAAAGTGTTTTAGCTGGAGGTAAAGGGTGCAATTGCGGTTGTACAGCAATTCTCATGCCGTAGGATGATGCTAAAGTAAGCAGTGTACAATCAACGCACAGATTTTATGCAAACTTGAGCCCTCTTATTTCAATGTATGGGTAAACTAATGCAAACATGCTAAAAGAGCCGATGATATTTCAGTTAAGGCTGCACATATTGTAAAAACACTGACAATGTCATGTTTTTTTATGATTCGTAACTTTATTTGGAAAAAATATATATATATATATATATTTATTCATTCATTTTCTTGTCGGCTTAGTCCCTTTATTAATCCGGGGTTGCCACAGCGGAATGAACCGCCAACTTATCCAGCAAGTTTTTACGCAGCGAATGCCCTTCCAGCCGCAACCCATCTGTGGGAACATCCACACACACATTCACACGCACACTCATACACTACAGGGAGGGAGAACATGCAAACTCCACACAGAAACACCAACTGAGCCGAGGTTCGAACCAGTGACCTACCTACTGCGCCACTGCCTCGCCCCAAAATATATATATAAATATATATGTTTATGTATGTGTATATATATATATATATATATATATATATATATATATATATATATATGTGTGTGTGTGTGTGTGTGTGTGTATATATATATATATATATATATATATATATATATATATATATATATATATATATATATATATATAGTTTTAGATTAATTGAGATGCTTTTATTGGGGAGTATCTCCAAAAAAAAGATTTAAAAAATTACAAGCATAGATGCATACAATAGAACAAAAACATACAAATAAAACCATGTCTTTGTGTGTGAGAAATCAAACAGTATGTCAAATAACAATATAGTTTTCATTGTATAAATAGTTAAAATTAAAAGCTTCAAGCTTGATAACTTATTGGTTTAAATTTACAGCGACAGGTGAGCGAAAAAACACATCCAAATAAAAACCTTTCACTTTTAATTGGGTTAAACTTTGCATTATGGTATTACTTTTGCATAATGTCCAACTCGGACATTGCAGATCCTGTAATGTGAATATTGCAGATTTGCATATTGCTAAATTGATGCTGAAACGATATATTGTGGACTCCCAATTGCAGTACAACTGAAACATCTTGCATTTCATTTGTGTTCTTTATTCAGGTCTAGATCCCAATTTAACAGGTAAGAAGATTCTCCTCCTGGAAGCTGGTCATGAAAAAAAGATGGACAAAATCCCGGAGACTTACAGCACAAGGGTCAGCTCCATCAGCCCCGGCTCAGCAACTCTTCTGAGTGGTATGGATATGTATTAAAGATTTATATGATATTTATACAAGTGATTTCCATCCCAAAATCCAAATTGTATATTAATTAATCAATTACCATTAAATGCAGCAAGTAGTTCATATTAATGATGCAGTCTTATAAGTCACCTGGAACCTATGATGACGTTTTACAACTGTTAACTAAAAGATTTCTGTTCATTTGATTAAGTAAAATAAATAATGAACAATAAGTTCAAGTTTTAAAAGTTCTAAAACGGAAAGAAAATCCAACTAAAGTAAAAACCACAAAAAAGAATCTCAGAGTTGTTTAAAAAGTCTTTCTCAACATCACTTAATGATGGCATCGATTTGACATCAAAAATTCAGTTTGAGTCCAAAACTAGAAACATTGCTAGCACAATAGGATGCATTGCAAGTAACACATTTTTCATTGCACTTGTTTGGTCTGTTATTAGATGTTACAGTTTTGTAAATCTACTTCAGAACCACCAATCACAAGCATATCTGCTGAGCTTATGAACACAATGGCCAATCAGAGGAGTTTAGATTAATCAGGCTTAATGTTTAGATTAATCAATAAACCATGAAGACAAATCTTGTCTAAAAAATGTAAACATGAACTCACTTTAAAAGGTTTGATTAGAATTTAAAAAAACATATGTAGTAATGACTTATTGATGATATTATTTAGGCACAATCCCAATTCTACTTTTGGACTCCTTCCACTTGCGTTAGTTTTTGTTTTTTGTCTTAATAAAATCACAGAAGACATATATCATGTTATCGTAATGATATAATGTGGGAATAAAATTGTAACTGTACTGTGCATTTACACCGTGGCCATATTTGTCTATGTAAATACACGAAAACAACATTAACACTACTGTATATCAGACACTGTAAAAAGCACATTCCCAGCCACTAGACTTTTCTGACAGGGGATCTGAGTGTCATCGAGTGACAGAATGTTGTGGGAGTGCTATACAGGAGTTATTTTTAGGGATTATAGATGGCTAAATTTAGCGGTATATATTTGAGTGTTTTTTATTTTATTTATTTTTTTCTTGAAAGCATGACAGTAGAACACAGATGCTGTTATGAATGTATTTAAACATTTGCTTGTTTGTTGTAAAAATTCATAGAAAAACACTAATTTGTTCATCTCCTGACTTCCATGTGTAGCTATGCTGCCGCTGTAGATGGTGTATTCTGGGAAGTTTTCTTACCTCTTGGTTTCGAGTGTGGTGCTTAAAAATTTCCCTTTCGAGGGGTATCCAGCCCTTGCTCTCAGACCTACGCCTTTAAGCTAAAGAGAATTGGGACACCCCTACCCCTTCACGTGAACGCGCAAATAGAGGGGTAAGGGCTAAGGGGTAGAATTGGGATTGGGCCTCAGAGTATGAGTACAATTCTTTAACCATAAGCAAAGTGCAGTTATTATTTACTGTAATCAAGGAGAGTTTAACAAGGTTACGTATTGTGAGAGTCCATAAGAATGAATGTTTTATTCTCAATGATAAAGGCTTCTTAACCTAATGTTGACAACACAAAACAACTAAAGCTAAAGCGCTTGAGGCTGGTTCCCGGTAGACATTATTTACAAAGAGCATATACATATTTACAGATAAATTATAAAAGTGAATCAATAGCTTTTCAGAATAGTCTATTTCTTTTAGCAGGTAATAACTTTGTCTTCAACCTGATTTGAGCCTTAAAACTGTGGACCTTTAACATTCACAAACAGCTAAAATGCACCTTAAGCATGGCCGGTATAAGTTTCTGGTAGTATGGAAACCTTGGACAAAAATGTTGCAGTAATGTGAATAGACCTTTATCTATAAAGTATACTTACGGAAACTTTTAATCTAACTGACAGCTACCTTGTGTTTGAATTTAATCCTCAGTTGTAGTTTTAAGCTTTAACCTTGGATCGTGATGTTTGTTGGATACATTTGTCCTTTTGACGTCATTTATGGTAAATGCACGCTCGAGTAGTCCATTGCTTCTGACAGCGCTGACTAGTGGTTGAAGTAGTCAATCACTCGACTAGTCGACTAGTCTATGCAAGACCTAATATATATATATATATATATATATATATATATATATATATATATATATATATATATATATATATATATATATATATATATATATATATTTTTTTTTTTTTTTTTTACTTTTGTCTGAGTAAAAAACAACCAACAACTTGAACTTTAGGAAGGATTTAAAATACTTTGGAACAGTAAACATGTCAGGATAAATAATTTAAATAAATCATTGACTTCTACAGTTTTAAAATTACAGGTTTCTTTACAACACACACAAAAAACCGTTACATTTACCTTAGGAATGGTATAACAGATAATTTTAGCAATTTTAAAACCTTGACTTTTCCAGACAGCAGTAAACCTTGAAACTGGTTTTTGTCCCATGCCTAATGCAATCAAAATTAAAAAAGCTTCATAGCTATTTTTCCATGTACCTAAAACAAGAAGAACTCACCAAAAACAATGTATTTCATTACAAGGTACAGTTGTCGATGCAATGCAGAAGACACTAAATCGCCCTTTGCTGCTTGGCCCGAACAATGTGTTACACTGGATGAAATGTGCGCATTTTCTTTGTGTCCACAGAATGCATGTTTGCATTATGGGCAATGCTGGGCATCATTTAGAACCAGTACTTTGGGTAATGTGGGGGGACAATCCAATTAAAAGGCCTGTGGTGAGGATAAGTACATCTGTCCCATTCAAAGCTCTGAAACGGCACTCCTGTCATTAAACCTATTTATGGTATAATGTTTGTATATGAAAGATTCACCAGGAAGTAGGTCAGTAGGTAGCTTTGTGAGCGTTGTTTTTCCATCCACGACGTCATGTCCAACCTTCACGCAGAGCAAAGATAACTGCGGCATTGAAAGAGTAGGAACAAACGTGGTGCCTTTTAATTGTATCTTATTGTGTTACAGGTCTTGGTGCTTGGGACCATATTGTAAATATGAGATGCAAGCCCTATAATAAAATGCAGGTCAGTAAAACCAGTATGTTGTAATACAATAATACATGGGGTGGGAGCATTATGCAATGATGCTATCATATGCTACTAAATGATTATAACAAAAGTATTACCTGGTACTTCATAGGGTGTTCATCAAAAAACGGTGAAGTAATTACATATTGCACTAAATAAAACCCACAGCATTTTAAAGCAACTAAACACCAAAGCAAAACACATTATGAGCAACCAACACAGTCATTTACTATGACCTTACCTGCTTATTTTCCCTCTGAGGCCAGGAAGCTACTCCATCGAAAACAGCTGTAGCGTGTTTTCCTCATCGTTGTTTGCCTATCATCACACCGTAAGCAGCCACCCATAAATTAATGCTACAGAACCACAGCCTCAGAATACAAAACATACATTAAAGATGCAAACTCCACATCACAACCCGACAGTTAAGGTTGGTTTTGCTTGCGGCCTCAGTTTATCTATTAGAGTCTTATTTAGTGGGATGACATAAATCTAAGTGCGTCTACTAATTACGAAGATTCATGTGAGACGCGGGGAGAGGAGTTAAAAGCTGTGGAGATCACAAGTAAAAGGGCCTTTCGTTTTCAATGCTGTGGGGAGATTTCTCCCGTAAGATGTGGATTTTTCACTGCCAGAATGAAGTCCTGTGGTTTCTGGGGAAACTAAGGGATGTCATCAGAGTGCACTTTATAGTGATATACCTCACCCATTATACCTTTCCTGTACCTCTTACCATTTTTTGTTTGTTTGTGAGAGCCAAACAAGGATGAAATTGCAAAGGAACTGTGTTAGGTTCCCTCTCGCTCTCCTATTAAATTCAAGCGGTTAGAGGAAAGCAGCTAAAACGGGGCTGGGAAAAAAACTGTGTTTTTTTAAGTATGGAGGTTCCCTGAAGTGTTATCAGCTAGAGTTTTTTTTTCTCCAAAGTGGTTTGAACCTTTTCTGGTAACTTTGTTTCAGAAATGACTGTTAAATGGGTCGTTTTGAAAAAGGGACGGCTTAATTTGGCAGCAACTGCAAGTACATAGCAACTCCAAAACTTATCAACAGCTGTGTTTTTCCTATGTGTAAAGTCCTCATAATTGTGGGTTGGTCACGTTTTAAATCTTCCACGTAACCATGTATCAAAAATTGTAAAACCACTACTATTAGTGGTTTTAGTGTGGTGGTATAACAAGGAGGATAGAGCGACACTTCTGGATCCATGTTACTTATAGGTTTAATTGTTTGCCAGTCACTATAGTTACACTCAGTTTAGGCTTTAAAAATAGCCTTGTCAATCACCAAGAAGCTTTTTGTATTTAAAACCAGCCGCGTGTTTTATTAACTAAGCTTCAAGGCATCTTGGATTAAACAAACTTAGCTCGACAGTAATGTTCGCGTATTTGTTATTTATTATAGGCCTAACTATAAATACAAGCATAAATCGCCACAAAGAATGGCATTTCACATTTCTGCCTCAGCCCAGTGCGTTTACAAAGTCAACCGTGTAACCTCAAAGGCTGTTGGTGGCTTTTGTTGAATCTAGTTTGATGTTTGGTTAGAGTATCTGGCAAAACTCTTCGCTCATTTGAACGGCTTTGATGTGTTCAAGTTCACTGAAGCACGTGCTCTTTTGGAAATCCATAAATAGTGCCCGAGCGGTCACTTAAGGATAGAGTTGTAAGCCACAGCAATAATTTGGCCCTTCGCTTTAGGTTTGGGATGCTTGTTCGGATGCCCTGATTACATTTGATAAGGAGAATCTGCAGGACGAGATGGCATACATCGTTGAGAACGACGTCATTGTGGCCGCCCTCACCAAACAGCTGCAGACTCTCTCTGGTAATGGACCCATTTTGATCTTTGATATATGGGTAAATTTATGTGCTTGTTTTTGTAATCAGCCCTTAGCATGCTGAACTTTGATCAGTACATGATGCTATGTCCTTGATCCTTGCTTTTTTTGCAGTGCTCTTCCCATGTAGCTGAATGTTTTCCCCAGCAGGGGCTCGTGCGCTGAGTGGGCTCCCTGTTAATTAGTTTTAGGGATGGCTTGGCAAATGATGTCACCACAAGCCATTCCTTCCTGTCTTGGCAAAGTGTTTATTTGCAGTCGTACTCCTTTTGAACATCTTTCTTCTTAGGCTAAAGATTCCACTTCTTTGGACGCATCCATGTTTTTCCTGCTATTTCGATCATCCAGCACATTACTTTTGGTGGGAGACAGAAGCCCCATGAGTATTGCCACCCTGTCAGGACACGTGCAGTGGTCTTTTGACCCATTTAAAAAACCACATTCCTTTCCAGCCGTAGCATCTCACTCGCTTGGAGCGGCCCAGCATGGACAGAGTTTTACTGTAACATTTTGTTGTTGTAATTAACTAAACAGTTCCAGGGCTCTGAATTTGGCTTTTCCATGCCATGCTCTGTAAAACAGCATCTTTTTAAAAACAAGCCTTTTTTAAAACGCATCTTGCATTTAACAGATGTGTGGTAGCACGTGCTTGTTCACGTGTTTGTGTTTTTTAACAGTCTTCTATTTCTGCTGGAGTACTAGACGAGACATACGTGCATAGGCCAGCTGGGCTTTTTTCTGCTCCTCTGCTTTCAGATCTGCAAGAAGCCAATATTTCTTGCTCATGTTCAAGAACTAGTGTTCAATTTTGTGGACAGAACGATCTGTAAGTCCGAAACGTAGGCGTAATCCTGGAGCTTTTTATGTGCTAGACCGCCAGTGATTCTAAGAAAAGTGGATTTTCTGCTTCCTTTACTTTCGTTCTCTGTTGTGTGCAGGATATTGGCAGCTGGTCGCATGTATTGCATGCTCTGCTTGTAGATAAACACCATTAGTCAGCCGAGGGTGACTTGCCAAAGCCATCAAGAGAATTGTCAATGTTAGCAGGCTTCAACCAGAGAAAGGAAAACGACTTTGTGTTTTATGAGGTGGCTGATTATCCTTAATTTTTGTCACAGCCAAACCCTGTATGCTTGGATTATTTTCTCCTCGTTTCTCAAGTAGAACTGAACCATGATTGTTTTTTTTTTTCATCATTTATCACACAAACAGATCATGTTAAAGTGCAGTACCGAACAAAAGTGGTGAAATACACCTGGCCCCATCCCTACCATGTCTCCGAGTCCATTCCCTGGGTTCAGGTGGCTCTAGCTAATGGAAAGACTCTCCACACCAAGTTATTGGTATGCAACGTTTAACCAGTGTTAAACAGAATAGCGTACAGCTACACAAGCAGAATTGATGAAGATGTATACGATTTGCTCTTTCAGATTGGTGCTGATGGACCAAACTCTATGGTGCGGAGAGAGGCAGGCATCCCCACAGTCAAATGGAATTACGATCAGTCAGCAGTCGTAGCTGTTCTACATTTGTCTGAGGTATGATGGTCCACCAGTTTAAAGATGCTGTAAGTTTTTGACTCCTCTAAAGCATAAAAATACCATAATATATTTGCAGATAGATAAGAAACATACTAAGTAAACATGCTTGTTTATCCAAAAAACAATGCTGAAGTCAAATATTCTGCTTTGAAAATGTAAGTTTGGTGACCGAATGGCTGTCTTTGTTTTGGTTCCTTTAACCTGCCTAATACCAGTTTAGCCATTTATATTTAAGCACCCCGGGTTGCCTTTGTGGAAAACAGCGTATTTCTTTCATTCAGTCAGAAAGACTGTCAAATTACGCATCTGTGATCGAAATGTAGACAGTAACAGCCTCTGAAATGAGATGCAGTTTCAGAGTTCCACATGAGGTGCTTATTAATTAGAATAATATAAATATTATAAACGTAATCATTAGGTGACCAGGTTATATTGTAACAAGCAACACGCTATGTGACGAAATTTGCAGTGATAAGCAATTTGGCTGTTTACACCAGACGAAACATGACAGAAATTTAAATACAGCCATTCAGTAGCAAAGAATAGTACACTTACTGCACTCCAATAAAATGGTAAAGTTTATACATTTCAAACGGTTTATCTTATTTTCGAGATCAGCTGCTGCTTTCAGTAGATTGGCAATAAATGTCACGTAAAATGGCATTCAAACTTGCATTACTACTGGATGTCAAACTTACATACTGCACCTTTAAAGTTCACCTCATATTATGTGTTTAACCTTTCTGTCGAGTTTGGGTAAAATCTGACCAATTTAAAACTTAAAACACTCATAAATATTGTGTTTTACATTTGATTGCCTCAAGGCCTTATGATATCTTTCACACTGTGCACTTGAACCTATAAAAGTGATGATCACTTTCATTGAATTTTGAGTGTTTTTAATCAACCTTGTTACACCTGTGGTGTTCCCGGTCAAAAGAAAACATCCCCCATACACACCACCCCAACTCACTAACACATTTCAGACTTTTGCAGGGACACATCTGATCCTCCAGCCTGATCTCACAAGGAAACGGTTCAGTCATACGAAAATGTCCGATTTTTAAAAGGTGGCGTGGCACCCAACCCATCTCTAAACCCAACCGTCATTGGGGATAAGCAAATTGTATGAGTGAGATTGTATGAATTCATATGGATAAGCCACTAAATCAATAAGTTATGAATTGCCATGAGATCCTCTATCGTAAAATCAACCTGATATAACAATGTATCATATCTTCACACAGACTAGACAGGTGTTTTATTATTTATTTATTTATTTTGTGAACCCCTCTGTGTTTCTTTCTTTTTTCTTTCTTTCTTTCTTTCTTTCTTTCTTTCTTTCTTTCTTTCTTTCTTTCTTTCAGATTAATAAAAATTTTCATTTCTTTGGTCAGACCTTGTGATAATTATTCAACGAGCTGTTTATTTGTAACTAAACAAAGTATTTTGATTTCTGTCATCTATTGTTCATTTTTTAATACATTTTCAGTGCATTTGTATTTTCACTGCAGTTATTTTATGTCTTATTCTATGAATTCATGGTAAACACTACTTTCAGACATTGTTCACAGCTAAAAAATGTTGATAAAAAAAATTTGCTGGCGATTTTTTTTTTTTTTGTTTGTTTTTTTTCTAATTTAAGAGCAGTTAAAACAGAGCGGTCAATTATAACCGGAAACACTAAAGTAAGGGGCAGGATTTGAACACGACATGAGGGTTAATAAACTATTGTTTTGGCAATCAATTGATCAATAATGGATTATTTCACAGATCAGTCAGGCTTAGATCAATCATACAGCTAATATAAAAAAACAAGCAAGCTTAAGCTTTTTACAATGCATTTATATTGAACTTGAGGCTAAATGAATAGATCAGTCTGTTTTAGGTTTACCATCTCTTCTGAGTTCATCAATAAGTCAACTACTACAATGACATTGTGTTTTTAATACAACTTCAAAATTCCATTAATATTTATTTGTTTGCAGTTTTATATAGGTTCAATTAAATTAGATAGATTTCTAGTATGTAAATGTTCTCTCAGTTAACGCATTACCTGTTTTTCAGCCCACAGAAAATAACGTGGCTTGGCAGCGGTTCCTCCCAACTGGACCCATTGCGATGCTTCCCGTGAGCTGACCTTATGTGTTTATTTTGCCTTGTAAATGATGTAATTTGTACTCGATTTGTTTCATTGGACCATTGTGATATCACTTAGTGGTCAAATGGAAAATGCATGTGTTTGTAATGGTGTTCAAGTCCAGACGTGGTGTATGTGTCTGCTGTGCAGTTGTCAGACACGGAGAGCTCACTGGTCTGGTCCACCAGTCATCAACATGCGGAAGAACTTCTACAGATGGACGAGGAGAGCTTTGTGGATGCCATTAACTCTGCATTTGTGAGTAAACACTTACACTTTTGCCACACCTATAGCCCACACTTGTGTTTTTGCAATATTACAATACGTTTATTTTGTCGTGTAGACTGACAAAGCTGTCAAAAAAATTTTTTATTTATTTAAATGCCAAATCTTGGTTTTACATTTTATTTGTTTCAACTGAATGCCCTTTATCTGACCCTCACACCATTTTTTTTTCTTTTTGTTTGTGTTTCCGTTAAAGAAACTCCTCTTTTCCCAAGCTGGCTATTTTTACTGGCCTTACTGGTCACAGGCCTTTGCATCTGAGTCACGCTTGCCATCAAAACTGGTTTGCTAATTAAGCCCAAGGCCTGCCAGTGATGGTCATTACTCCACAGAATGTTTTTTTTTTCTGCAGACCGAACTCAATTTTGTGGCCTGGTCAGCATTTTACTTTAATTAGGCATGCTCCTCACATCTTTGCTGAAATACCTTGTCTTTTAAGACTGCACAAAAGGCAGAAGGTACAGTTTACTTCTAGTTGTCAAGATGATGATAGCATCAAATGAAAATTATGTCATAATTTACTCGCCTTCATGTTGTTCTAAACCAATATAACTCTCTTCAGAATTGCGGTGTTCCACTGAAGGATGTTTACGCAGCTTTTTCCCATACAATAAAAAGCAGCAGTGGCCAGGGATTGTCCTGATCCAAAAAGGACAAAAAGCACCATAAAAGTGTCACTTGAAGTAGACCATACAACTTGGGCTCTATTCTAAATCCTCAGGAATAGTAGTTGTCAACATTTTGACTCAAAGGCCCCTCAGTTTTTCAACACAAATGAAATTCAAAAGCCCCCAATATATTGAGTAAGATACTTCTTCCTGTATTTCTTCTTAAACTTAAGTGAGAAACAGATTATTCGTAATTTTGTTTTGTGTGTTATTTTATTAAAAATAACTATGAGTGTTTACATATCGATTAACTACAGTTCATTATGCGAGGCCAGACTCTTAAAATTATAAACAAAAAACAGGAGGAAAAAGTTCACATCTTTATATACAGTTGAAGTCAGAATTATTAACCTCCACAATTTCCCCAATTTCTGCTTAATGGAAAGGAGATAAATTTAACTCATTTCTAAACATAATACTTTTAATTTCTAAATTAACGGATTTATTTTATCTTTGCCATGATGACAGTAAGTAATATTTTACTAGATATTTTTCAATACGCTTCTATACAGCTTAAAGTGACATTTAAAGGCTTGACTTGGTTAATTAGGTTAACTAGGCAGGTTAGGGTAATTAGGCAAGTTATTGTATAACGATGGTTTGTTCTGTAGACTATCAAAAATATATCGCTTAAAGGGGATAATAATGTAATAGAAATAAATAGAAACTGCTTTTATTCTAGCTGGAAAAAAAACAAATAAGACTTTCTGCAAAATATTTTTTTTTTTATCAGACTTACTGTGAAAATGTCCTTGCTATGTTCAACATCATATATATGTATATATGTATATATATATATATATGTATATATATATATATATGTATATATATATATATATATATATATATATATATATATATATATATATATATATATATATATATATAAAACCTGCTCCAGAATTTTTTATTTTTAATTGTCAATAATATATAGATGTCTCACTTATTTTATTTTTTTTTTATTTTTCTTTTTTTTATTTGGTCCATCTTTTCATTTAGTTAAAGTTTAACATCTAAGTTGTGAATTCAAAAACTCATGTACACAACACTCCTTTGTTTACTTCTTTGTTTTACTTCAGTGGAGTAATGAGAACCATTCTGAGCTGGTGGAGACTGCAGGCTCTCTGTTTCGAATGGCTCTGTCTGTCCTGATGCCTGACAGTGGCTCGGCACGTCAGCTTCCACCAAGTGTTTCGGGTATTGGTCCAAAGAGCCGGGTGATGTTCCCATTAGGCATGGGTCATGCCACAGAATACATCAGGCACAGAGTCGCCCTTATAGGGTATGTTTGCCATGTTTCACACCAGTCTTTGGTCTTTGGAATTTTTAATTTTACCAATGTGTATTTTGACTATGCCACTTCTCTTCCACTGCTGATGTGAACAGTGCTATTTAAAATTATTTTATTATTTATTTATTTATTTTATTTATTTAAATGACCTTTGATACAAGAAAATGCATATGTGCATTTATATGACTTTGACTTCTTAAGTGTGCTCAATATGTTATGTTTAAAGTGCCTTTATAATGTTTATGTGGTTGTCTTAGACTTGAAACTTACAGTAATTAGCGACATATAAATTTTGTTTTCATGGAGATGTTATGTTGGATTTAAGCAATTGACCATATAGAGAAAACTCTTTTCTCTCTATTTTGACTAGTGGTTTCATCTGTGTTTTCTTATTTTCCTAATTTCAGAGATGCTGCACACAGAGTACATCCTTTAGCAGGCCAAGGTGCCAATCTAGGCTTTGGTGATGTGTCCTATCTAACACAAGTTCTTAGTCAAGCAGCATATAATGGAAAAGACATAGGTAAGGCTCCCAACATCTGGATCAATCAAGTCATATAAATGTTTCCATCGAAGTTGTATCTATGTGAAAGTTCTTCAAAACACATTGCAGCAACCCATTGTCAAGACAGTCTGCAAAGGTTTAAACCAAGCATGAGAATGGGAAAGAAAGAGGCTAATAGTCAGACTGGTTTTACATGATAAAAAGGCAACAGTAACTCAAAAAACACTCATCATATTCTTTTGTATCTGTTTTACTTATATCTGCGAGACTAGATTCAATTATTGGCTAACATTGTTCCTAATGTATGTAATCTGACCTTCCACCAAGTTACCTTTACATGGACACACACACACACACACACACACACCTAATAGTACCTGACTATATTGTTTTTTTTTTTTTTTTTTTTTATTGTTATTTTGTTATGCCAATTTATGTGCCTTTCTGCATATTCTAATAAAAAAATAAAAATAAAAAAAAACACTCATTACAAAGATTTTGCAGAATAGTGTCTCTGAACACGACAAACCTTGAAAATGTGAGCTAAGGCAGAGGCTATTTCTGTCAGATAAGAACAGGAAACTGAGGCTACAGTTGCTTACCAAAATTAGACATTAGAATATTGGAAAAAGTTTGGGTTGCCCTGTCTGATGAGTCTCGGTTTCTAGATACAGGTGGTAGGGTAAGAATATTGTATGAATCTATTCTGTCTTCACAGTTCAGGCTGGTGTTGTAATGGTGTTGGATGTTTTCTTGGCACACTTCAGGCCTTTAGTAACATTTAAGCAGGTCCGGCCCTAACCAATTTGGTGCCCTAGGCAAGATTTCAGGTGGCGCCCTGTCACATTGCAGTAAATTCCACTGCTAGTGTACATATAGTCATAAGAAACTAAATAGCTTTTTGATCGACTACTACAAGCTGGGAAAACGTCAGATAAACATGTCAATGCAATTAACATTATAGCTGAATAGATCTAATATTTACACATTTGCTTGAGGAAGGAATGATTGGGGTAGTTACATTACTATTACTATTTTCCATAACACCAATGCCCTTCCATAACATTAGCTGACGTTAAAACAGATAGCACTATAGATATTTATTGATTAGCAATGTTATGCCATATCTGTCAACGTTGGGATGTAAAAAATTTGGGATAACAAATAGCTTCAAATGATCAAATACATAGCAAACAATAGAAAATATTGACAATAAAATACAATTTTTTTAAAGCCAATGGCCTATGCAGAAATTAAATAAAGCTATAAAATTTATTTAACTTTTAATTGTATTTGCATATTGATTAAAGTTACTATAGTTATTTAGTGAAGAGCAGCAGATCAATCTCTCATTGTGTTTTGTTTGATAACAATGTAAGAATGCACAGATCTATGTGAATGAATGAAGCATTCGACTACTTTAGTAATTGTTTGTGCACATTTAAGAGAAAATTAGTTGTGTTTAAAATAAAACAAGCAGGACAGAGCAAAAAAAAAAACGAAAAAAAAGAAGCACTTTTCTGACGGTCCCTTACTAAGAGCGCCACTCCGCGCGAGCTTTCCTGGCTAAACGCATATCTTCGGCTAAACGGAGCAGTGGTGGTAATGTCGAGCGAAAAAAAGAAAAAGACAGCTGTGAAACATAACCAGCTTTGTCTTTTTGTAGGAAACACACTTAAGATCTTTTTAGGCCAAGAGGTTTTTGAGTTATTGCCATCTATTACTAAATGTGTCAGGAATATCAAAAACAAAACCAACTTATCCGCGCTCATTTTTGGCAGCGCCCTTAGCATTTGCCTATACTGCCTATGCCACGGGCCGGCCCTGCATTTAAGCATTGTTCAAATGCCACAGCCAACATAAATATAGTTGCTGACCGATCCCTCTATGACCACAGTGTACCCGTCTTGTGATGGCAGCTTCCAACAGGAAGTATAAAGTTCAGTCAAATGCCATCCACAGGCACCAGATTTCAATTTAACAGCACACCTTTGGGATGTGGTGCATTAAAAGGTTCACACCATGTAAGTGGATCAGACAAATCTGCAGCAACTTGGTTATCCTATCAGGACACAATAAGAAATGTTTACAGCAGCTAACAAGATACAAAAAATCAATGCCATTCTCAAGGCATAAGGGTCTAATACAGTACTAGAATGAGGTTGCTAATAAAGTGGTCGAAGAGTGTACTCTTATCCAATAACCATTAAACAAAATAACAAGCATATTTTTCTAGAAAGCATAATCTCATTCAAAAATAAATACATGAACTGTATTGTGAAGATACAGTTGGCTGGAAATGTGTCTAGAAAAACAGAGGCCTTCCTGGAATTCAGTTCAATTATTTGCTCAATGTAGAATCTTATTTCATTCATGGGTTATAATACTTTGGGTTCAGAAGATCTCAGTGGAGCTGTTTGTGGTTTTTTATAAGCTCTTTTCCATTCACCATTGATGGTGATCTTTAGTTGGGGAAAAGGAACTGGTTGTGCTGAAGCAGTATAGTATTTTTACTTGTCAATCTTTCCAAAAACTGCTCATAAATTTCTTTGCAGCCGCAAATGGAAACTTAAGAGAAAATGTTGACATCAGTTTCTTTGAAAATCAAAAATTAGTAACTGATGTGCTCATTATTTTATTTTTATTTAAATACATGGACTGTGGTGGTGTAAAAGTTGGCATCATTTCATATTTGAGTAAATTTGCAGAGATTAATGTATTTGCAGGTTATGTGCACGTGTGATAAGTACCAAATGAATTACAGTGAGAAGCAAAACTTTTGATAAGTTGGATAGTATTTAACCACTGGTCTTTTGAACTCTAGGAGCCATGCAGCACCTGTTGGAGTTTGAAACTGAACGTCAGCGACACAATCTTCCCATGATGACTGCCATTGACCTCATGAAGAGGCTGTACTCCTCTAACACAGCCCCAATGGTTTTACTGAGAACTTTTGGCCTCCAGGCTACCAATGCAGTGCCTCCACTTAAAGTATGATCACATCTATTACTCTTCCAACACTTTCATCACAGTTGCCAAGTCTCCATTCACATATTTTTATGCACATTTTGGAATATCGCAGAAATAAATGCTTAATGCAAACACCAAACGATGCGTAAATTTTGAAAATGCGAAGAAAAAACATCATCTCTTATTTCAGTTCCTTATCAAATCTTGACCCATCCAATGCTTGCTAATATCTGACATCTTCCGCTCCCCTAAAGATGCTTTTAATTTGTGCGCTTGAGCTCAACCACTCTTATGTCAAGTTCAGACTGCATGATTTTCAAAATAGTCGTGTCACAGAAGTTTTCACACTGCATGACTATCTGGGCTAGCGTTTTGCTGCTGCTTTGTTTACACTGCAAGATGGATCGGCGACTGGGGCTTTCACAATGCATGACTTTACATTAGGAAGAATCGCCGACAACTTCATCCAAACTACGTCTCACAGCCAAAAACACTTAGTATATCTTTTGTTATTAACTACATAACTAGAAAGAAATCTTTCATGGGGTAGAAAATGTATATATTTGCTCACCTGGGTTTGAAGGAAATTAGCAATTTCTCCTCAACTTCAACTTTCTGTATGACGCATCAAACAGACAAGGGTGCTCATGTCAAACCTCCACTAGTTTTTCCTCCATTTCTTGGGTCCAAATAAACCGAAAATGAGGGATTTTACCTTCTCCCCCAGCCTCCCACTGGCCTGCAGGTACACTCACACACGAACACGATGTTATTTTCAGTCAAAACTCATTTCACACGGCATGATTTGAATCGCAGACAGCTTAAGATATTTAGCATGCCAAATATCTTACAGGCATCGGCGACCCATTGGTGAATCTCTCAGATCGTCTCTTTGACAGTTCACACTGTGATTGTCACTTATGTGCACGAGCACCGATTTGCCTGTGATTTCAGGCTTTTGTCTGTTAGTGATGGGAAGTTCGGATCATTTTACTGACTCAGATCTTTGAGTCTCGTTCATCAAGATGAACAAATCTTTTTTCGAGTCATTTCGTTAATTTGGTTCAATTTGCCAAAATATTATTAAAATTCTACGAATTGCTTCCAAACACATCTACAACTAGCCCAAAAGGTTGATCACACGACAAATAAGTCATAAATAGAATATAAGAAGGAGAAAATAATAATACAATGTTTAACTGCTCTTTTGTCTATGATATGGTATTGTTCTCTCTTTGCTCAGCTCACCTCTTCATGTCTTCAAATGTCAGGGGTTCGTTCACGTTACACTGAAAGTCACATATAATCTTAATCAATGCACAGTCTAAGCTGATAGGAGCCATGATTGTTCGTTCATCACGTGACAGAATGACTCAAACCTGAGGACTCGAGAGATGAGCGGTTCAATTCTTTTTCTGGCTCTAAACGCGTTTGATTGGCCCGTGAGGAACAAGTGACTCAGACCCGATAGAGGACTCGAGAGATGAACGGATCAAAACTTTTTCCGGCTCTAAACGCATATGATTGGCTTGTGATGAACGAGTGACTCAGACCCGATAGAGGACTTGAGAGGGGAGCGGATCAATTCTTTTTCCGGCTCTAAACGCTCTTTTTCCGGCTCTAAACAATGTGATGAAGACTTGAAATTAACGATACTACCTGCACAAATGTGCGCACGCGCGGATGAACGAATCACTCCCTGAGAGGACTCGTAGTTCCCGAGTCATATTGAAGATTTGTTCAAAATGAACAAATCGGTTATGAACGACCCATCACTATTGTCTGTGATTTCTTAAAACCTGGCGGCGAGTCAAAATCGGGGCTAAAATCATGCAGTCTGAACTCGGCATCATATGATGAATTTGTTATTAACTATTTTTAAAAGGGGGAACTGCTTCTAATGCTGCACATTTTAGTTTTTTTTTCATATATTTAATTTGCATCTTTGGATGGAAACATGGCTAATGTCAGTTTCTTTTTTATTTCCTACTCTGAAATTGTACACTTTGTCCCTTTCCTCCAAATTCTTTCACTTTTCTTGAGCTCTGTGGCTCTCTTCTTCTGTTCTCCTTCCTTCCTATCCATGGCTCTTTCTTCGCTCTGTTCTTCTTCCAGCTACCGACTTTTTTTTTCACCTCTCCAACTTTTGCACCCTCTTTCACTCTTCCTCTGACTTTTTCCCTTCTCTAACCCCATCCCCCCATCTTGTCCTCTGATTACATGCCTTTCTACTCTTATCCGTGCCTGTAATTTACATGGTCAGGAGCTACTACTATGGCTATGTTTAGCCCTAAATTTACTGTTACCGAAAGTGTGGGTGGGGTTGCAGGGCTGTGCATGGTGGTGTTGGCTTGTGTTTTCACACTCCTTTTATTACAGGCCACTCTTATGAAATGGCTTCATTCCTTTACTAAGCGATTCCAACCAAAGGCCCGTAACTTTATCTTAGGTCTTCAGGGATATCTCTCTAATTCAGTGCTTCTATGATAGACGTTACAGACTAGGCTCACATGCCTGGAGGGTTTGTCACCCTTCGTGACCAAAATGTTTAGTTCTAAATAAAACTAAGCGGCACTTGTAGCTTATAAATATTGGTTACCTGTAAGTCACTTACCTGTAGTAATTATTTTTTTCTTGTACCCACAGGAGCAGATCATGGCCTTTGCCAGCAAGTAAAAACTGGGTAGTTGCTGGATCTCTAATGCTTTGTTCAAAGATTGTATAAGTGTAAATTAATAAATTATATTTTATTCCTTTGTCTACGAGTAAAGCATTTTTTTTATTTTGTTTACATTTACCCATATGAAATTTACCCATAAAATGTAACTCCTGCTCTTTCTTTGCTATTACGTGTTTTCCTATATTTCTATATTTGAATGTGTTGTGAGAAATGTAAATAAAGGCCTGTTGTAAAAACAATTATGCAAATGTAAAGAAACATGATTTTCTTATATGGGAAATTTGCATAATTCATAAGCCTGTTAAGCTGTTTTTTAAGGAATATAGGCAAGAAAGTGGAATTTCTTTTATGAAATCAAAACTGTTTTTGACTTTTAATATGAATATGTAAGGCTAAAGTTATCTATAAGTCAGTATGCTACAAAAAATGACGAAATTCCCATTAAGAAGTTACATGGTTTTAAAACTTTCTCAATTCTGCCAATATTCATCAAAAATATTGATGACATCACTCTGACCTTTAGCTTCTTGTCTGATATTGGTTCCAAGCAAATAATGACTAGACTATTAACCATATACTGCTCTATAGCCTACTTACTATAAACTGACACAACTGAAGCTGGTCACTTATTCAAACAAACTGCATTTTCTATATAGGTATCAGGATATTAAGGATTTGTTCATTAATTTTCCTTTGGCATAGTTTCTTTATTCATCAGGGGTTGCCACAGCGGAATGATCTGCCAACTTATCCTGCATATGTAAGCTGCAACCCAGTACTGGGAAAATAAGGATTTACAACTGGAGTAAGGATAGTTTTCATTGTGGTAAATGAATTTGGTTTTGTGTTAAATACGTAACCGGCATACCGCTCACATAGAGTGAAATACACAAACTGACATACAAAGGCCATCAATCACAACTAAATTAATAAAACAGAACTTTATGCATTAAACAATTTGGCACATTGGTGTTATGTATGATCTGCATTAATGTTTTTAAGTAAATGTCTAATGAAGTCTTTCACCATCAATTTATATGGAATCTAGAAAGTTTGTAACATGACGCAATTAGCCTATCTTTCATTTTAAATAAGTTACCTTTGGACCAGGATTTTAATGTCCAGCCATGATGTGCCACCATTGAGGATTAAAATCAAACAGTAGCCTAGTAGGCTAATTTGATTACTAAATAAGTGGGCTAACTTGTACATTTTCGTCGTTTTAGCTGTCATGAACTGAACTGACTATCGCGATAATTTTAAAGACTCGTGATTGTCAAGTGGTTGAGGCTATTTTCATAATTGGCGCGAATTTAAATCAGCTATGGTCGATACTGAGGGGATGGCAACAAATTCACAGTAAAATTCTCTATTACGTTCATTTTAATCAACAAGGACCTCGTTTGAAGTAAGTAAACAATAATATAGTTTATGCCATTAGTGGTTTTGTTTTCTGTTTGAACGTTTTGTTTTGACAAGCTTTGTTGCATATCTTAATTATGTGGGTTATGTAGTATATAGACTCAATTATTTTATAATCCTGTTTAGTCAACTGATTCACCAACAGATATTTCTTATGTTTTTTATTTATACATGTACAATAACATTTCATACACAACACTGAACTGGAAAGCATATTTATAGCATTTACTGTAGAAAATACCTCTTAAATGGTAATGCATTACATAAAACATCTCACGTCATGCGTTGAACTATGAAAAAAATATGTATATACAGTCTTTAAAAAATACATAGAAATGTACAATGAAGCTGCTTTAAAGAAGCTAATGGATTAAGAAATGCAACATGCCACACTGCGTTTTCAGCAAGTACCATGTAATAAATATTTGTACAATAATTCACAAAACACATTTGACACGATACTGCCATGTGAGCAAAGGCTCTTTCTTACACTGATCCTAAATATGTCCGCTCTATCCACTTGTCACATTTAGCACAAAGTCTGACTTTATTCTGCTCAATTACACCCAAACATCTGTAAAGAGATACAACAGCAACATTTTTAAGGCTTTGCCACATCACGAGCCCCCAAAACTATATGTCAAGCCATCCACAATAACCAACCCAACTTGACATAAAGGAGGTTGAAGGCACTCTTAGCAAGTTGACCTAAAAAAATCTACAGTAACATGGAATGCCTAATGTCTACGAATAATCTGACCAGTAGTTATATTTATCAAAGTATTTATAGGATATAACACGTAAGCATTTGCACCTATTTAATTTGATAATGGATGCTGTAAAAATTAATTCAACTGCATGCCATTCAGTGTTAAAAACCTGGTTATACCTCGGTTTAAAAAATAAGCACCTAGTTAATGAACTTCATCTAAAAGATGTTCCACCTTGAGTCTATGCAAACCTAGCATTTATTGCATAAATACATGCATTATTTAATAATACATAAATCCACAATCATGTGGCAATGTAAAGTAGCCATTTAGCCAAAGTAGCCAAGTAGCCAAGGTTGATTCTTAACCCAACCTGTCCAGTCACAAACAAATTAAGTTGCTTATCCCAAACAACTTTCCAAAGCACACATAGACAGTTGTAGATACGTTAAAGTGTTACGTGCTAGATATTTGGGCACTAAATTAATTTATCACAACCTAAAACAGCACTACACTATTGTGCAAGCACTACTACTATCCCATTACTGCAGAAAGGGTATGGAGGCTACACTACTTAACGCAATGTTTTTACACGTATCCCACTGCACAATATCCTGCACAACTGCATAAATTACTTCAAATTGATGAATTTTAGATTAGAACTTGCCAACTTGGACAGTGTCTCAGGTGAGGCGACAGACAAAAAATGTAAACATACAGTAGAAATAGCAGACTGGCTTTACAAAAATATAGTGATTTCTTCGCGAACAGTTCTTTGGGTGTTTAGTTGGTGAAAGAGGAGAGCGCTGTGATACAGGACTGCAGTGCAGAGCAGGTTTGTCAACTCACTATAGAGTTACGGGAAGGAGGAATAGGAAGGGTTGCTTGATAACTTGAGATTTTCCTCCTGCTCCCCTGTGTTCCACCTCATACTGGTTTCCATGAGACCGCAAGCTTTACTGAATGCTGAAATTGTGGAAATGATCAAATATGGCGCCGAGAGCCCAGCTTGTCTCCACATTATTCACCTTTTTAGCAAGCTGTGAAGAAAAAGAAGACTATTAGACCATTCTGCTGCTTTGACAGAGGTATTACATCTTTAGGCTATTTAATTAAGTACACACAAATTAGTGAACGGTTTAAGACCAATTTTAGATTCTCTCTCATGTTATATTTACTTAACGTACAAATTAAATTGCTTTAATCTCTCCCACTTACCTGCAAAACAGTGCTGTCCTTGAAGCCAAATCCGTCTTTCAGTAGGCATGTGATGTACGTCATGTCCATGCATAAGTAGGGGCTGATCGGGCGGTATTTAGTCATCTTATTGCACACTTGATTAAGAAAAAGAAAAGAACAATGAGGGAGGATGTTACAATTGCTCACACCTAGAGTTAAGTATTCGACCAAACCCATAAGCCTTTTCATTAAACCCTAATGCAGTTCTCTTCCTTTGTGTATTTGTGCTAGAGATGTGAGTTATACTTCAGATTGGGTGGCTTGTGGTGATAACAATCTAGCAACCACCCAGAATGATCTAACATTAGGAATTACTTCGAGAACCTTCACAACCACATTGTGTTTTGAGTAGGCAAAACAATTTGTACGTTCTTCAGAAATATATATATATATATATATATATATATATATATTAGGGGTGTCACTGAAATCGATCGAAATTTATGCTCAATTTCGATTATCGAATCAAAAAATAGAATCATCGATGCTGCTACGCCCCCATGTCACGTCAGCTTGTCTTGCCAAGCGGGAAAAAACAGGCTTGTTAAAGTGCTTGTTGAACTGCAGAAGCAGGAGACCCGTCGACAGAGCTTAAACCCTCTCCTCTTTCAATGAAGTCGCCGGTGTGTAAGCATTTTGGATTTCCAGTGAGTTATGTTGACAACGTTCGTGTTGTCGACAAAAAAAAACACCGTTTTGCAAGCTCTGCTATGTACGTATTAGGGTTCGTCCGATAGACAACACCGATAGACAACACCGGCATCGCGATCCTCCACCCGCCCCCATTGCAAATCCGCTCGCGAAAAGTACACACTCAGGTCCTGTTTACACTGTCTTTGTTTTTAAATGGCATTTTAGAATGACAACGATTTGACATCCACAGTGGCGTGTAGCATTTCTGAGCAGCCCTCCTTCCTCTCTACCTCTGACACACACACACATAGACACAGATGCACACACACAGCCATGGGCTCGAGACAGCGGGTTCAGGCAGTCAGAGGATCAGTAGACTGCTTCAATCTTTCACTCACTTGTTCTTAGTCATTTTAGCGAACACCTCAGATACTGTTGGCTGGTTCCTGTTGGTTGTGCGTCTTTTTTACCGACGCCATTATAACGACACAGATCACTGCCTATTCACGAGTCCCGCAGAAAAAGTGATTGACAGGTGGTAATTATGTGTGTATCTTGCCTTTATTCATTTACTGTATGATTTGTTTAGGGGTAAAACAAAGACCACGCAGGTCAGGTAGTTTAAACGGTAGGCTACAAATAATTAATTGGTCATTAATTAATTAATTATTCATAATCGAAAATCGAATCGTGCCTTTAGAATCGAAAATGTAATCGAATCGAGGATTTGGAAGATCGTGACACCCTTAATATATATATATTTCAATCTGTAAGTATAGAATCGGGCACGAAGGTTAGATTAAAGGACTAAAAGCTTCCCAGTTACACTATAGGCATTAAGCATAGTGGGCGCACTATCCAGTGACAGCCAGACTGTTGGTTGTCAGGTTGCAGTATCTCAGAGTCTGGCACATTACGTAAGACACTGAGGCACCAGTGCTGTGTTTTTCAACAACCGTCTGGCACATCTTTGTGAAACAGGTCTTCCCAATGTTTTGTTTTTCCTCCAGCTGACATTGTGATTTATGAAAGTTTGTGAAGAGGGGACGGACAGGAGGAAAGTGCGAAAGAATCGTTTCACACCCTATGTCATGCACGTGCTGATTGTGCTCCAAATCACGAAGGGAGGGTCTGGGGGAAAGCAGTACCAAGTGTTCCCGCACAGGGTGTGACATTAAGTCCTGCCTGCCCCTCCAGTTAGATATTGGGCATTAGGTGTTGGCTCCTGTCATTGGGATAACCATCGTGCCAAATGTGGTTCTTCAAGACCATGCGACAGTGTCAGCGTACAAATAAAACCCTTACATAAGACGCCAGCTCATTCCCCCTAGTGATAAATCTTCTCTGTGGACATTTACTGTTTGACACAATCTACCATGCGAGTCTTCTTTGAATCAGTTTCAGGTCTCAAGCTTACGTATGTGTCAAATTCTGTGCAAAAACTCATAATATAGTCCTGCCCTCAAAGGGCATGGAAAAGCTGAGATAGCAGGTTAGACAGTTACAAAAGAAGGTGAACACACGCAAGCAGAAGTATTTGTGTGGGAGAGGTGCAGCCTATGTTTATGTGGTGGCAGAGCTATCATTTTGTGAAGCCAGTGTGATTGTCGAGAACCTCAAATGCAAATAAGCACCAAGGGTTTATGTTTGTGCAATGTGTGCGGCAGGACTTTGACCCGAGTGTTCTTTGGAGAATGGGAGAGTATCCCAAATCTTACCTTCTTTGGCTTTCTTTTTGAAGTCCCTGACTTCCACAGTACCGCCACGGGATCCATCTGAAACATCGAGACAATTGTCATAAATCATGAAGATGATTCATCACTAACTGTAGCATTGACCTAATGCAATTCCACTCACCGATGAGACCCGACTCCACAGCTCTGTCGTAGTAATAGGAGAAGGCGTAGAAGATGCTGCTTCCTTTGACCTCAAATGGCTGATGCACAATCCCTTTCACCACCTGCAGCACCTCTTGGTAGCACAGTTTATACCCTGCATAACCTAGAAATAAAATAAAATAAAAAATGTCTTTAGAAATTGTACCCCACTCTCCAATACTGTAAACTTTATCCTGTCCCATGTGGTAAACTCTTTGACTGAGAATAAAGTGTGGTTATTCTCCCTGGAGTTGTAGATTTAGACAGGAACTGCCAGCCAAAGCAATTTTCTATTATCCAGGGTCCTTCCCATATTTACAGTGCACAATACCTTGTAAACACCTGGAATCTGTGTAAAAACAGATTTTAAGCCTTCTGTAGCAAGTCCACAGTTGTGATGCTAAGACCCTCTGTTCTATTTATATGTATATTAAGGAAACTACTAGTCTCCTACAGGAAAGCAAAATATTTGAGGTATCTTGAATGAGGAGTGTGCATTTCAAGGAAAGTGCCTCCTTACAACATAATGAGGTCAGTTTGAGGGTTTGCCACAAACTCTTCAGGGAGAGGTTTCCTCACAGGAAGCTCCAAATAGGCAGTTTTCATATGACCTGAAGCTAACTGGCTGGTCAGGCCTACCAGTTGGAAACCATATGGACCGCTTAACAAGGCCCATCGTAGTTGGAAATTCTGCACCACAACATTGTTATAGGGGGAACGGGATAGGCCAAATGCCAAGCCTATGATTATTGTATTTATTTATTTATTTATTTTACATGTTTGTTGTTAAAACAAGTGTTAAATCATTTAAATTGACCATTTTGTTTCCGCAAAATCACTGAAGTGAAATTAAGTCATTTTAAAGTCAGACCTTTTCAGAATACAAGTTTAGAGTCAACCAGTGTGTTGACATTTTTGTGTTGGTGCCTATTAGTCTGAATTCAATATATTACATTTTTCACAGTAATATCAACAGTATGCAAAAAACTTTAACAACTTATATTAAATTTTAAGAACTTATAAAGTAATTCTAAGATCTCTCACCATCTGGGGTTCCGCTGACTTTATAGGTCAGTCCACCAAAGCTCCACTCTTCACTGAATTTTTTTGGTAAACAGGAACTTCTGAAAACTTTCCACTCGAGACCTATAGGTTGAATATTTAAAAATGAAATTAATAATCATTTATGACACAAAGTAAGCCTATATAAACAATTTTATTAGTCATTACCGTCAGCACCAAGAGCACCAAGTGTTGCCAGTCGAGAAGCAAATACGCCATTTCCAAGGTAACTGCAATTGAGGAAAAATGTAAAATCACAATTTATATGGGTGATTCTAGAATTGCCCATAATTTGTTTCTTTAAGATTAGCCTTCTTTTGTTTTGTTTTTTTAAAACCAATTTTAATGAAAGTTTTAAATAATAAAACAAATTATATCAAGTTCTCTCTAAAATAATGACTGTTTGTGTAGGGACATTTGGTCTTGCAAATGTTAACTTAAAGACTCACACTTTGATTATGTTAACTTCCTCTGCCCCCAAAATCATACATTCAGCTTCAGTTTTAATAACACTATTTTCTGCATTATTTGTCATTTCAATCTGTAAAGCACTGATAAGTGTAACTTTACTTACTTTAGAACGCAGAATATATGTACTGTATAATAAGGGACGGAATAACATTTTCATAAGTTCAACTTACCTGTGAGTATACAGCTCATAGGTGCTGTTGAACATGTTGATTTTGGCGATGTAGTCTGAAGGAGCTGACTGCACAGTTTTCTGTGAAGAGTACAGTGTCAATGTTACAAACTACTGAAACATTAACCAGTACTATATGTTTTGTTTTTGTCTGTTTTGTTTACTATTATTATTTTATGATACAATTGTTATTAAACTCTTTTTTTTTCTCAGCGTTATACCTTTAACCTGGGAAGGAAAGTAATCTGAGTTGAACCTCCACCCAAATCCAAGATCCCAACAGTTCTCTTTGTTTTGGAATATAAATGACCTGCAAAACAAAGATTTTTAAAAAGTTGTGAAAATGCAGTTTATTATCAGTCACTCAAATTCATGTATTTTAGAAATGCATTCAAAACAAGTTGCACTCTTGGAAATCAAGGAACAAAACTTGTCACTGGAGAAGTCAATTTTATAATATTTATTACGATTGTACCCAAATGTGTACCTCTTGAAATGGTACACTGTACAACCTCAGTGACTGTTTTTGTCACTTCATTTTTGAGAGTGTACAAAAGTACATGCCCTGCTGAAAAAAACTGCTTAAACCAGCCAAGGCTGGTTGGCTGGTTTTAGAGGGGTTTTGGCCATTTCCAGGCTGGTTTCTTGCCATTTCCAGGCTGGTCAGTCTGGCAGATGACCAGCTAAAACCAGCTTGACCAGCCAAAACCAGCTATGTACAGCTTAATCCAGGCTGGTCAAGCTGGATTTGCTGGTCATTTTTCAGGCTGACCAGCTAAGACCAGCCTGGAAATGGCAAGAAACCAGCCTGGAAATGGCCAAAACCCCTCTAAAACTAGGCTGGTCAACCAGCTAAAACCAGCCAATCAGACTAAGCTGGTTTAAGCTGGATTTTTTTAGCAGGGTGGCCTTCTCTTAAGTTAATATTTATTCAATATATTCAAATTAAGTTATGACCATTGTAGAAATGTTATAAAAAATAATCAGTACTTTACCTGTGAGGAAGTTTACTGTAACCCATGCCAAAACACCTGCAACAGAGGAAACACATTTTATTGAGATGCAGGATTTACATACAAATTTAGGCTAGACATTTCTGTTACCATTAAGCTAATATTTTTAATCTGACATCTGGAAGTACACTGCCCCATAGTATACTTAATAGTGTCCCCATAGAAAGCAATAAGAACATCTTATATTGGGGTCATCTAGGACCAGCCCAGGTAATTAAACATGTCTGAGATGTGAAATTAGTCACACCTCATAAAACCAAAGGACAAATATGTGAATGTCTGACTTTGCATGAAAGCGAATGTCAACTTGAATTAAAAATGTGGAGGATAAATTAATGTTGAGCGTGGGAGGCATCTAGACAAGATTAAACCCAGACGGTTATATTAAACACTTAGGTCACTATCTCAATAAAGTGTACAAAGCATAATCAACTATTTACTTTGAACTTGTGCTTCATTAATGCTATACTACCTTCATTGATGCCATTCATAATGGTGACACTGTTGTTTGGCACAAAGAAAGGAGAGTCGTCAAATACTTCTTTGACCTGTGGACACAAACCAGAAAAGACATGTATTAACCGTTGTGTTTAATTTTAGCTCAACAATGTAATGAAACCTAAGAGTTCATGACTCATGTGTTCCTCTGTAATGTACACTATAAAAAAAGAAGCCATTTAGTTGTTACAACATAAAAATTCAAGCCGGCTCTTTTTATCTGGAGTCAACGGGAAGTGCACTGAATCAATCTTGGGCGAATTTGTCTGAAACTGGGCAAGCTTGAAACCACAAGTGTGGCTGGTGCGGTGGCGTTGAATACGATAATTCAAAAGGCATTTGGGTCCCTTCAGCTCCAGACAGCCTCAAAACAGCTGCTTTTGCACAGTATTGGTTTTCGTCCGCTCCTACTTTTCTTGTCTTTCATTCTCTCTGTCTCACACACAACATGGTTTGTATCCCTTTGGGATGGTTGGTTTCTCTACCAAATTGTCTGAGAAAGAGAGGAAGCCTTACCTCATTCAGCAGGGCTTTGGCTTTCTCTTCAGGCAGCAGGCGCAAGCCGGCAGTGGCTTTCAGAACCACAGGTGTCTGTATCCATTGCTCTTTGGGGATTGTCTTTTTTGCTACCTTCAACAGCTGCACAATGGATTCTCCACCCTAACAGATGGAAAAAAAATATTGTAAATACATATTCATCAAAGTGAATAAAAGAACATTAGTGTGATCTATACAAACCTGGATTAGCATCTTTTCCTGTCTAGCAGGACTAAGGGGATAAATATTTACTTTTTCAATGTCCTTAGCTTCTTGGTTCAAAAAGGGAAACTAAACCACTGGTAGAATACTCTCTTGAACCAAATTGATTTATTCTAGAATATCTGCAAACTTTGAAGTGCATGTACATATATTTTATTTGCTGCGTGGCCACAAATTAAAGCAAAAAAATCTTTGAGCGGTCTTGAAATCAAATCTCATACTGGCGAAATGTTCAAACCTGGAGTTTTTTTGATAATCTTAATGGAAACCAAAAATATAAATAGTCGGTTTTCTGGCTGTACAAGTAAACTGGGAAAAGCAAAAGCTATTAGAATGTAGAAATCTCATTCCTTGATGTTCCTATAAAAAATTTAGTGGCTTACCTTTTCAGGCATATCTGCATATGCTGACAGTCCGGGCTTCACTGCATGGTACATCTCATTGTCAAGCACTGGAAGCTCAACTGTGGGACACAGACAGACAGAAATGTCAGAAGGAACCATAAACGATGTTATTAGAAGGTGCACTTTAGCAGTGGATTGCGGGCAACTCTATTCCAATCTCTTTAAAAGTTACTGTGCACGTGCAGAGACATTTGGTTATTGTATGTTTATCACAAATGGCGACCACCAGGATTTTTCCAGACAGGCAATTAAGAGTTTACCTCATCAAGAATGATGCCATGTCTCCATTTAATGGATATTTTGGCAAACCTATTACTGAGTTATCAGTTCCAACCCATAATTTTTAACATTGCTTGAGGATGAATTTTTTAAGAGCAACTAGAACTATTTCTCCATCTCTCTTTTTCCTTCCCACCCCTGTGTTTCCGTTTGTTTTCTCACTATTCAGCGAATAAACCAGGGCAAACACAAACACAGTGAGCAGACTTGCTATGAGCCACAGGCTCCTGAGAGGGATGCGGTAAGAAAGAAACTGAGCGAGAGAGAGAGAGAGAGAGAGAGAAAGAGAGAGACGACGAGGGCAGCCGTTCACAGAGTCTGCAAGGCGGGACTCTTCGAGATCATTCTGAGTTCATGCTGTAAGCTAAAGTGAGGCATGGATGTGAGTCAGGACCATCAGAACAAATCTAAAGAGATCTAGCTACAAAAGAAGCAAGTAAGTTTTCTAAGAAGATATCATGTCTTGTGCAAAATCTGGATGCAGAGAAAGGACATTAAAAGATTTACCTGGGTCTTTTTGGATGAACTTGTAAATGTGGATACGGGTGCCGCTGCTGCCAGCATCAAACATGATCCCATAAAAGACGCGACTGAAGTTGACCTGGCGGGGGGCCACTGGTTCCATCACCACAGGCTCCTCTGGAGGAAGCTGATTGTCCATGTTGGCATTGTGATTGATTGCACGGTAGCGGTTGTACATATGGTGGTTGTAATATGTTGCCTCTGCCAGAAAGTACCCGGCAAAAAGCCACATGGACACCAACGTCAAGTGCAACATCTGCTGAGACATGGTTTCTTTCTCCCACGCCGACACTGCAAACAGCTGAAGGCTTGACTGGTGGTTTCTCGAAAAAGTGACTCAAGAGTTTTTATGGAGGAGGATGTGTTTGCTGCTTTTGCCCGGTCTTGTTAAGAGAAAGTCTTGAGGCTGTGCAGATGAAGCAAAGGTCTACAGAAAAGATGAAGAAAGGTAAAAAAAGAAGATGGAGAGAGCCAGAAAGAGAGGGTGAACGTAGAGACACACTCGGGACTGGTTGGTCATCTGTTTACAGTATATAAAGACATAAGTGCTTGGCAGGGGGCCATGCCAAACAACAGCATCCACCAATCCTGAGCCTCCCCATCGCAAGCCCTCTGAAATCCATCCTCCATCATCCCCTCCCCTTACTTATAAAAAATGGACATGGGATACCTGCAAAAGAGTGCCATTTCTTCCTTTCTTGTCAATTATGTTCAAATTCGCAATAGCCTCTCACACCCACCCACATCATCTGAAGTGGCTTAGATGAAGCTAAAATGTCTTCAGAAGAACAAAAGAGAGCATATAATAAGACTTCAAAACCCGTTGGATTTCTAGGAGTGAATGCGTTGACTTAAAATACATTTTATGGGGGTACTTAATTAAAACTTGCAGCTTTACTTTCTACTTACAGCCAGTCTTGTTACTTCACCACTTTTTCTTTCTCCTAACAAGCATTTAAAGCTACTCATGCAAGCTTTCAATTGCTGCAAGCCAGCTTCCTTTCCAAGAATAGTAGTTACATCGTGAACTGGCTGCTAAAGAATCTTAAATGACCATTTAACGGGGATCTTGAAATTCCGTTACATGTAGTTAATTTGAGTTATTTGTACTATAATTTCTAAAACAGGACTTTGTTCATTTTAAAAGAGGTGTTAAGAGATGTAGACATTATCTAATTTATTGTAGCAGTTTTTGGCAAGGTTATAAAGTCACACCATTTTCATTAAACTTCAGAGCTCAAGGATAGCTAAGACAAACGCTTTTTTGTGTTGTTTTCACATCGGTTGCCAGGTATTTTGGCACAGCAGATGGTAAACTTCGCTCTCTGTGTACTTTCGGTGCCCGCAGAGTGGTGGAAGATCCTGTACCCAGGACACGTAGGGTCACTCTTCAGACTGAAAACACTTTACCATTTTTGAGGTAATTGAATAAACTGACCAATCTTTTCTTTTCCAACCAAGTTTTAGACTAATAAGTTCAGTTCCACTGAAATAAAGGGTTTGTATATGTTGGAATTGGAGGCATCTCCCTTTTAGCTAGACAAGAACATATTTTAAGATTGTACAAAGAGAAAGCATGCAAGTGAATACCTTTTCATTGGAAGTGTTGATAAGCATTAAACATCAACCAAATATTTGGCTTTCTTCTGCAATTTCTGTATTGCATTTCACAAAAAAACAACTGATTATTAGGCTCACAGAGGCGTTTTCTCAACATTCTGAACCTTATTCTTACATCAAGGGGGGTTTCTCAGATAAATCATTTTGTGCAATCCCTAATAATTCAGGCTTGATGGCAGGATTGCATTACGACAACATGTCTTTTTCTCTTTCACTTGCAACTAATGAAAGTGGTTCACCGCACATCAAGTTAAGAATGGCTCTTGATGCCACTGCTGGTGAGACCCAGCTGAGGAACAGGGAAAAGCAGAAATAAGGGGCGGTGGAACCCAGTCTGCAATTTTAGAGTCGTGAGGGGAGATGAGAAGCATACAGAGGGCAGAGTGAAGGAGGGAGGGGACCTGGGTGGAGTTTGGCAGTGCCTGCGCTCCCATCATGCCATTCCAGTCCCCGGACAGTCGGCTGAGCAAAGTAACAGTTCCAACGTTGTAATTTGGAACTAAAAATATTACACTTTCTTTCCTCTTTTTCTTTTTTTTCAATCTGCGGTACCCCATTATGGTCTTTTCTACCGTGCCAAGCATGCATGTGCAGGCCCTCATATTGACTTCTGACAAGTTAGGAGTTTTCAGCCGTGCCATAGCAAAAGTATAGTGCATCTATGAGCTAATTCAGTAGGTGACTGGATACTTGGATGCAACTATGAGGATTCCTATTTTGCTGTAAGACTTACAGCTGCATTTATATGTACCCTCAGTTTTGTTTCATTTTTTTTTTCTCCCTCCCTAAATGACTACTTATGTTCACACATAACTGAGACAATTACTGACAAGGCAGTCTGTACATTCATGGAATTATCACAGTACATCATAAACAGTATTTATGGCACAAAGCTGGGCAATTACAGTACATTGTTCGACTGATGCAATAAAAAATAAACCAGGATGAGCGCCTAAGCCTGACACTTTCACAACCATTTGTGCAATGCTGACTGCAACATGTTTTTGCCACAACGAAACAATAATAATTTGGAAGAATTTGCTGCCAGCCCAGTAAACTGTAAAGTGTATCCTTTAATCTACATTAAAATGAAAACGTACAGTTACAAAACAAAAGACTTGGTTTTGTGGTGCATAAAACAAAAAATATGACAACAAAATTGTGAGGTTTGACTGTGCAAATTAACTGAATGTGTTACTCACTGTGTAATATGGATTGCTTTCTTTAAAGGGATATTTTATTCGAGCAAGCAAATGTCATCATTTACTTACACTCACCCTTTATTTTTTTTTATACATAACAGAAGCTGAGGTCTTTTAATGAATGTTGGGCATTTCAATAAAATGGCAGTAAGTGTGACTCACTTTTATAACTATACAAATGTATACACATTAACACACAAGGCTGTCAAGGGTGCTGTCTGTCACTTTAATTTTATTCATTTATTTATTTTCTTTTTAGCTTAGTTCCTTAATTAATCTGGGGTCGCCACAGCGGAGTGAACCGCCAACTTATCCAGCATATGTTTTACGCAGCGGATGCCGTTCCAGCTGCAACCCATCACTAAGAAACATCCACACACACTCATTCACACACATAAACTATAACAATTAAGCCTACCCAATTCACTTATACCACATGTCTTTGGACTTGGGAGGGAAACCGGAGCACCCGGTAGGAAACCCAAACGAACTCGGGGAGAACATGCAAAGTCCACACAGAAATGCCAACTGACCCAACCGAGGCTCGAACGAGTGACTTTCCTGCTTTGAGGCAATCTAGCTAAGCTCTACACCACCATGGCGCCCACTTTATGTCAGAGTTCTGCCACTCTGGTCTTGTGAATTTTTTTTTTCGGTGGCAGAATCCGAACACTGGCCCTGTCTTGTCCTGTTTCTGTCATTGAGTGTGTCTCTGTGTGCGCACGTGCAGTTGTGGGTGTGCGCAGAGCGCGCGCGTTCCCGCTTGATGCGGCCGCCCGGGCTCTGTGTGCCTCGGACTTTTGTACTAGTGTTTGTTCTGTCAGCATCGCGCTGCTTCATTCTCGGCGCCTCCGTCTAGTTGGTTTCAGTTTTGGTTGGTGCTGAGATAAAGCATGCGCGTTGCATTTGTGGGAGTGCACGCTAAGGTGTTTATCTATTGTGTGCTCGTGTCTTGCGTCTCTTGTCAAAGCACGTGGCTCGGTGTTTACATTGTGGTCGCGTGCTTTTGTTGTGTGCTTCAGTGTTGTTTGTCTTGTCATAAGAACATGCGGTTAATGAGTTCTCTCACTGGCTGCGTGTTCAGTCTTGTTTTATGTGAGCGCATGACTTGTGTTGTCTCTCTGTGTCATGCGCTCTCTCATCTATTGTCTAGTCCCACCCTCCTTGTTAACCCATTATCAGTTTCTCATGTTCACCTGTTTGTTTCAATTTACTTCTGCTTTATAATCCCCTCATGTCTGCGGTCCTGTGCCAGTTTGTCATCATTATTTCCCTGTCCTGTGAGATCCAGTCCTGTTTGTCCTGCCAGCCCAAGCAAGTTTGTTTGTCTGTTTGTTTGTCTGGTTGTCACCCTCCGGGTGGTTTTTGTTGTCCCTTTTGTTTTATTTTTATTAATAAGTACCATCTTCTGTTGCATTTGAGTCCTCGCTCCTTCATCCTTCCTGAAACCTTGACACTTTAATTTCTTTTAGATTTTTAATTTCTTTAATGTAGCGGCACGGTGGCTTAGTGGTTAGCACTGTTGCCTCACAGCAAGAAGGTTGCTGGTTTTGGGCATCCACTGTGTAAACCATATGCTGGCGGCTCATTTCCATTGATGTTTTTTTGGCCAAAAATTGCAAGCAATTTCCTCATGTAAATCTTGTTTGAGCAAAATACCACTGATAAAATGTGAATCAGCACATAAAACCAACTGTGATGTCACACTTGGGATAATTAATATGTAGGCTATGCCAAAAATCCCCCAAAAAACAGTATTTGATTCTGAAGAAGTGAGCAATTCCTACTATTTTGACACATAACAACCCTCCACTATACGCAGTAAGTAGTCAGTTGATCCAATTCTTGACTGATGTAGCCATTTCTGTTTAAATCAGACCTTTTAAATTGAATGATGAGATTAAAAAACTGTCAAAATCGAACTTGTTTTAGATAAGAGAAGTTAAAACTGTGTGACATGATTTATTTGAAGAGACAACTCATTAGATTCTATGTTATCTGCAAATAGTGTCTGATTGTCATACAAGTCAGGTGGAAATTCAGACACATTCAGGCGGTTATGTGATTGGTTTGTTATGGGTCACATGAACTAAGATGGCATTACACTTTTTTTTCCAATGGTCTTTTCCCAATATCCCACTACCTTAATAAGACCTTAATAAGACATCTTAATAAAGAGATTAAATGGATGGAGGGCGGCACACAGCAAGAAGGTCTCTGGTTCGAGTCCCAGCAGGGTCAGTTGGCATTTCTGTGTGGAGTTTGCATGCTTTCCCTGTGAGTTTTTCCTGTGGGTGCTCCGGATTCCACAGTCTACATGAATGCGCTATAGATAGAATTGAATAAACGAAATTGTCCGTTGTGTATGTGTGTGCATGTGAGAGTGTGTATGTTTTCCAGTACTGGGTTGCAGCTGGAAGGGCATCCGCTGCGTAAAACATATGCTAGATAATTTGGAGGTTCTTTCCATTATTAATAAAAGGACAAAGCCGAAGGAAAATTAATGAATGAATAAATGGATTAAAAAAGTAGGTATAAATGTTCTTTGTCTTCACATTCTTACACATACATTAAATAATGCATCACAGGAATGCCATAGTTTTGGTTGCCCCGTGCAATACTCATATTCAAGAGACTGGGTCCTGTAATTAGAGATTTGATGGTAATGACAGTATGGAAATGTCCCGAGTTATGTGTACTCTATATGAGGGTGTCTTTCATCTCTGTCATAGCAATTAGCTTTAAACTTAGTTGCCAAAGGACTTGAAGGCAAGAGCCTTCATAAGGTTACAGTAGCTATAAATCCTGACATTTTGAATGTATTTTTTTTTTTTGCCTGCAGAATTTTTTATGGACATACTCCAGCTTCATCCAAAAAAACTGAACAAAAATGACCGCTGGGAAGCCGGCAACTAACTTGAGTACAAGGCATGCAATGCAAGGGTGGTGCTGCTGGATGGATTCGAAATTATTCTGAGCAGAAGCAAGGCCCCTGAGAATCTGCAAAGTCAACTGCAATTTTGTTTAAGTCTTGTGGCTACTCTGCATCTTATGTAATACTGGCTTATAGCTTTTGTCTAAAATCGCTCTCCTCCAGAAGAACTGGAAGTGAACCCCTTTTGCTTACATAACCTTCTGCAGCCTCGGTTAACACTCGCCCCACAATTCTTTGGTTTCTGAAGGCTACACCCTGGTGTTGCAAACAACAGAGACTACCGACCATTACGTGACCCCCTTTTTTATACATGAGTCCCCACAGAGTGAACAATTTTTCATAGGAAATCATAGGGTGACGGCTACCAATCTGGTTTAATCACAGCTGTGAATATCAAAATACGATTCTATTTAAAGACTAAGCATCACTGTCAGCAAAGAAATAAATCAGTAATCTACAACAATACAAAACAAGACGAAGTCGCTTATCAAGGTACAAAAGTCAACACAGTGCATGAGCTCAAATGACCTTCTTTCTACGTTTTACATAAAAACAGTTTAACAGCTTCTTTACTTTTACTTTTTTCCTTTTCTTTATCTTAGTTACCTTGTACTTGATTGGTTACTTGTAGTGGTTATCAATCAATGAGTCAGCTCGTTTGCTTTATAAAGCTTCATAAACTTCTCTTAATGTGAAAGACATACAAAATGTGCAGAGCAGTCTGTCCCGTAGACATTTTAAAACCACTGGGTTTGCTTAAATCTTTTTACAAACTTTGTGCTTTTACCCATCTT